CAGAAAGTCGCTGTGGGTGATGTTAATGGCTTCATTTTTCCTCTCAGCGGAGCAGCAGAGAGAACATGTCTGGGATCAAGAGAGTGATCGCAGAGAAGGACCCCGACTATGAGGAGATCACCATCACGCATCCCAGCAAGCGTCACAAAGCGGCCGAGCAGTCAGGTAGGAGCTGTCTGGACTGCAGGGATCTTCCAGGTGGAGCTGTAAGCGCTGTGGATGTGCGTGCTGTCAGCAGCAGGTCAGGAAAGGACCGGGGTAGAACCTAAGGAATCGAAGGGCAGAAATTGAGCAAGAAAGCTGTACAGCTGAATTAAAGTGTGGTTGTCGTAGGTGGAGCCATTCCTACTTGTCAGCTGAACCGTGAGTAAGGTGTGAGGATACAGACTTTGGTGCATGATAGCAGCTAGGAGATAGTTCTCTAGGGCCTCAGCTGTGTACTTTGATTCCTGTTGCTTGCTGCAGTATTTGCCAGTGCATCTTCCCAGCAGTTACCCATGCTGAGATGTGCTCCGGCCTGTGCATCTGTTTTGCAGTTGAAATCTGCTTCCAGAAAGGCTGTCAGTGTGTTTACATTTTGGAGGATACAGGTGGCAATGCAGCATTGAAGAGGGGTTGCAGAGAAATCCATGACCCTGCAGGTGATAAACTGGCTCTTGGAAGATGACAAATGTGTGCAAAGAGCAGGGAGGAGGTGGAGGAGGAGCAGGTACCCATCTGAGGGAAAGATAGATGAAGTAGTGTGGACACAGTAGCTGGATGAATAGGTTTGCATTTGGCACGCTCGGGTGTGCTTGCTTTGGGCACCAGCCTGTTGGCAGGGTGCCTGGGACAGGTTGCAGTTGTCTCTGGACAAACAAGAGTAGAGCGCCTTGCCCCTGGGAGAGGGAGTGGGCTAGTGATTTCTGGCATAGCACAGCCAGTGAGAGGATTGTAATGGGAGGAGCTGATCAACAGGGAGGTGAGAAAACCAAAGCTGGCTGTGGGATCTGAAGAAGATCCAGGAATAGAGCAGGATGCCAGAGCTGCCAGTTGGAGAGGGACAGATGATGGCTTCGCGGGTGATGTTTTGGAGAACAGCGTACAGCTGGGCGAGCCTGAGGAGACTGAGCTCTGGGTTGGATGTGTTGTTGGGCAGGTCCAGTCTGCCAGGTCAGTTCGTGGCTGAGGTGCTGGAGCTGTGTGGAGCTGGCTGTAGCAGGACAGTGTCAGCACTCCCAGCTGCCTGCATTGCCTGGCTGCCAGAAGTCACCACCCTTTGTGGTGGAGCGTCCTGGGGACTGCAGATGCATTTTTATCTGCTGCTGAAGCAAGGTTTTTATAATTAGCAGGCAAAGTCTCAGGGTTTTGGAAAACTGTCATTGCCAAAGTGAACTTTCTGTTCAGGTGATTCCCCCATACTGGCTTCTTTCTTCCTCTCGTGGAAGATCTCCAACTTTTGATACAAGAATTCTTTTAAGTACACAAGTTTCACTAATACCGTCTTAATTAGGGACTGTGGTTGATGCTAAGCTGGGAAAAAAAGGCTCGTGGTTTTGGAAAACTGTCATTGCCAAAGTGAACATTCTGTTCAGGTGATTCCCCCATACTGGCTTCTTTCTTCCTCTCGTGGAAGATCTCCAACTTTTGATACAAGAATTCTTTAAGTACACAAGTTTCACTAACACCATCTTAATTAGGGACTGTGGTTGATGCTAAGCTGGGAAAAATATGAAAATAAAGTGTTCTTAAAAGCCTCTGTAATATAACCACAAATCCTGAAGTGCTTTAACTGTCATAATGCTGGTGTTGCATGGCATCAAGATGGGAAGAGATGCAGTTGTCCTTGTCTGAACTGTACATCTCATACCTTAAACTGTTTAGGTTTATTTTAAGTGTGGCCTTACATGTGATTTTCCGAGGCAAGATGTCCGTGGTTTGAGGAAAATTATATCCCTCTAGTTTTTAATTTTGTATTACTCATACAGATTCAGCCATAATTCTGCTTTAATGTAAGCTTGAACTATTTTTGGTCCTAGAATATATATAGAGATATTGGGAAATAAGTAACTATATTTAGGATATCGCTGTTGCAAAGGGAAGCATCAGTTGCCTTACTCCTGTTGTCAGTACCTGATCAGACAGTAAAATTATGTTTGCTAGCTGGAACATGCCAGCAGAGTTTTGACTTGTTTTTGATTTCTTTACTTTTTCTGTTGGGATGTCAGAAACCTCTTCAAACAGATGTATACCCTTTAGTCAAACAAATGCTTCCTCTGAATCTTGGAACAGAGTAGTGGTGCTGTTGCCTCCTATTCCGTATAGAAACAATGTTGTAAGTGTTTTTCAGAGGAACCCAGGCCGTTTCTCTGATCTTTGTACTGGGGTCACTATTTCTGACTCGTGCTGGAGAACCTTTTCCAGGCTTTCTTGAAGTACAATTCCTGCTTTTCCAATTTGTTGCTTAGAACTTGGTAAAAGCAAGTGTTGTTTGAACTCCCTGATGTAACAGAGGTGGCTTAAAGGAAGGGCAATACAGAAGGTGTAGAGCACAAGGAATTGTTCTCCCTATGTTCATGCATGTTCCAGAAGATCACAATAAGGTGCCAGTTTAGTTCTTAGCCACTAATTTGCAGTAAGGTATTTGCACAGTTTGAAATATTAAACTGCATGCTTTCCACCAAGGTCAATAAACGCCTGCTAAAAGGCTGAGGTTTTTTGACCGCTGTGCTGGATGAGGATTTTGTAAGAGGTGGACCAGCTTTCGATAATGAAGTTTCCTTTGTGGGTAATAAAAGGCTTGTAAGCACTCCAGGCTGCTCTTCATGCCAGCACTAAACACATGAAGTATTAGTTTGCCTTAATATTGCTGGATGATGTGTAAATTTCCTGCATTTGAATCAGGCCAAAGAGAGCAGAAAAATGTGCATAGTGTTCCAGTGCACAATGACAGCAGTAACTGCACTTAGCCACAGTGAATCTGAGTTTTCCTTTCACTGTTTACAGCTTTACTGAGACAGAAGTAAACAAACTGGTCCTGTTCTTCCCATCTTCTGTTGTTAGTCAGCTCAGACCTAAAAAGGAAAAAATAGCCCTCCACTTAAAACCAGCTTTTAAAGATACATGTGCTTTTTGTTAAGACAAATTACTTTCTTTTGCAGGAAAATGATCCTTCGCATTTTTATGTGTGTGCTGAACTTCTTATCCCTTCACTTCTCACTCCAGAATGATTTCTAATCTTTATTTTTTCAAGTGGAGCCTCAAAAAGAAATGTAAATACCTCCTTCTTTATCTTCCATGTGTGGCCTCGTGCAGCTCGAGATGTTGCTGTGCAGAAGATTGAGACAATTATAAAAGAACAATTTGCCGTCGAAATGAAGAGTAAAGAACATGAAATTGAAGTTATAGATCAGGTATCAAGGTTTTGTTCTTAAAAATACCCAAGAACCTGGTGTATCAGGGTTCTGGGGGATTGCTGCAGTGGTTATCCTTTACTGTATGTTACCTCCTCTTTTTGCAGCGCCTGATTGAAGCAAGGAGAATGATGGATAAGCTGCGCGCCTGTATTGTGGCCAACTATTATGCGTCTGCTGGTCTCCTTAAAGCTGGAGAGGTAAAAATTACAATAATAAGATGTGAGGGAGTATTTGCAAAGGGCAATGTGTCCACTGGCAGTTCAGTTCAGCTGATGTTTGGGTTTGAGTTGGTTGTCTGCAGTAGTGTTACACGATCTGCAGATGATGTGGCAGTGGGAGAGGAGACCTGTGCATCACCAGCTGTGCCTCAGGTGTTCTGCAATGATGGGGCTTCAAGGAGCAGCTGAGGAGTTGTTCAGCAGCCAATGGTTCTGGTTTCTGAAACACCCTGTGGTTTTCATCAGCTCTTGCATGAGAGCACCTTGCTCCTCACACGCTGCACAGTTTGTCCTTGTAGAGCACTGAAAAGTGGGGAGCATGTTCTCGTGTTTCACAGGAGGAGAGTGGAAGCAGATGGGTTTTGAAACTTCTCAGGAAAAAAAAATAAAGAAAATCAAGATTTCTTGTGTCCCAGGCAGTGCCATGAAATGATCCCCCCTTTACTGTGGCAACCAGTCTGTTCATGGTGAACAAACTGACGGCAGCAGTAAAGCAGGAGGTAAATCAAGGAGATATCACAGAGAGATTAAAAGTTCACAGGGAGATTAAAAAAACCCAACCCCACCAGTTAAACCCCAGTTCTGAGCACTCTGTCCTTAGCAGACTGATAATCACAGGGTGTTCGTGACTCATGCAGCCTCCCGATTGACATGCACTACCAGTTTAGGTGTTCTAGTTACCATCTGTTCAATTTGGGGAGTTGATCTAATTTCCAGGAAAGAGCTGATTTTTGAAAACTGTAGGTGGGTGCCGCAAACCTGGCCTTCCCTTCTAGTACCATGAGAATTTCTCTTCCAAGCAATGGCTTGCACTGCTGCTGCTGTTTTCCTGGAAAGGTGTAAAAACAAAAAGGTACAGGTTATTTGTCCCTCACAGAACGTCAGGAGTTGGAAGGGACCTGGAAAGCTCCCCCAGTGCAACCCCTGCCAGAGCAGGATCACCAGAGCAGTCACACAGGAACACGGCCAGGGCTTTGGGTGTCTCCAGACAAGGAGACTCCACAACCTCTCTGGGCAGCCTGGGCCATGCTCCATAACCCTCACAGTAAAGAAGTTTTTCCTCATGTTCACGTGGAACCTGAGTTATTTTTCCCTCACCGAACGTGACTTGAGCAACTGGAGTTGAGAAAGATTCTGGCAGTATTTGGGTGGCTTGGAGATCCCTTCTCCCCCCTTGTTTTTTGTGTAGGCAGCTGAAGGACGCGAGCTGGGTTCTGGTCTTTGAAAAAGTGCTTTTATCTGATGTCATCCATCACGTGCCAGCAAGAGCTGTACTGTCTCCTCTTCTCCACTTGTTCTGCTGTGCAAGGTGTTTGTTTTTTCCTTGTTGATTTGCGGCTTGCCAGATATCATAACTTTTGTCACTGTGTTGAAGTGTTCGCAAAACTTCTCGGTGCATCCTTGCTTTGTTTAGTTTTCCTGTAGCTCTTACGAGCTCCTGGCTACTGTAGCTGTATCTTCAATTGCATTTTAAGTTTTTTTCTAAAAATCCTGATTTGCATGGAGTCTAAATCAATTCTCTTTCTATTTTGGGATTGTTACTGGTTTCAGTTTTCTTTGTGGTCTGTTTTTATTGGGCGGTTAATGCATGTTTGACTTGGTTGGCAGTGAATGATTGCTTTGTTTCTGCTTCTGGTGGAATGGGCGTTTTTGTAGTTTAATTCAGAACTAGGAAGATGATTTGCAAATTCCTGACCTCTTCTTATAAATATAAACAGTTCTTCAGTATACTGCTGCTGGGTTTTTGAGGCTTATGATCCTATATTGTTATACTTTAATGATGATTTCCCTCAAATTGGTGGACAAGGTGTTTGGTCAGCTTACTTGAGGTAAAGAAAAAAGGGGTTTTGGTGGTGGTTTGTTTTGCTTTTTGGGTTTTTCAGTCATGTTATGTGTGTCCTCCCCACTATTGGATATAGCTCTTAAATGTGGATGAGCAGGTAATTGAGAGTTGGTAATTGCTTTGCTCACAAGGAACAATAGGAAAGAGAGCTCTCAAATGAACCTCTAAAGGCCAAGGTGGATCAGTGCTTCACTCCACTCCTGCTACCACCTCTCCAGGGCAGTTCTGCTGCTCCCTAGTGTTACTGCTGCTTGTCCCTGTGCCACTCTCTATCATGTTGGCAGAATTTTGGATCAGGGAACTTAACATGGATTAAAAATAACCCTGAAATGGAAAAAAAACCCAACTCTCCAAACAAAACAGACAGACTCAACAGCAAACAGACAAATCCCAAATCAGTTTCTTGATTTGTTTTTCTTGTAACCTGCCCCCTTCCCTGGAATAATTGTGCCAGCCTCGCTGATCTGGGTGGTTCAGGCAGGGAAGAAGAAAGCCTCTTTCAGCCAATACTGCCTGCAAGAAAAGCTGTCAGTGCAACTCTAGTGTGAGTCCATGGCTTCAGGAGCTGGAGCGAGCTTATCTGAGGGTGTTTCTGCTGCCTTCAGTTGATTCATCATCACACCAAGGTGACAGGGAGAACTGATGACTGCGAGAAGTGGCCGAGAGACACCTGCTTTGGGTGATGGGTGTTTTCCTTGCTACTTCTGAGTTTAAAAGCAAACACAGGAAAAACACGTCTTGGATCTTTGTCACAGTAATTATAAAAGAAATAAAAGAGATTTAAATGCATACAACCCTATCCTCCCCCTTGCAGGTTTAGGAAGCTCTAAGATGAACTCTAGGATATCCATTTTAAGGGAAGTTTGCAAGCACACCTAAGCACGTTATTCTTTATCCTCCATTAAGCTTTGGTAGCAGACAGGGTGCCAATATGTGTAGCTTGCCTCATAGGCATTGGCAAGACTGCCAGTCTTATGAAAACCAAAGAGCCTGATGCATTTATGTACCCTGCTTGCTTGCAGGAATTGGGCAGCCGTGGTTTTTCATGGTCTTTCATTTGTTCTAAGACCATAGGGGTCTGCACAGGAAGGGAAGCTGTTGTTTTCAAAGGGACATTAGGCTGCAGTCCTCCTTGCCAAAACCAGGTAGGTTTCTGAGATCAAAAGGTCTAAAGGAACAGATTACATTTGGGGTCCTGTTTCTGTAGAATTCTTGTAGGCTTTTATCTTCCATGGCATAATATTTTTCCTGCGAGGCAGCTGAGTAAATATTTGCTCGCTCTTCCTACATTGACTTTTTTGCTCGGTGTTTGGCACAGCTTTGTTTTCATTTGGGCAGCGGGGAAATGGTGACAGATCTGCCTGACCTCTTTGTTGCAGGGGACCAGGTCATGTGATGCGACAATTCTTAATCACCCTTCGATCAAGAAATTCCTGGAGTCACCCTCCAGGTCGTCGTCTCCAGCTAACCAGGGCTCAGACACTCCATCTGCCAACCACTCTGAGAGCGACTCGCTCTCTCAGCACAATGACTTTCTCCTGGACAAAGACAACGGCAACTTGGATGCAGATGAGCGGCTGACAAACAGCCTGGACCAGAGACAGAGCAGAAATACTGGCCGGGTAAAGTAAAACTTGAGTGGTGGTCAAGTTGTTGGAGGTGTGTGCTCTCTCTGGACATGCTGCTGGCGCCAGGACCTCTGTTTTCACCCACCTTGCTGGAAATCTGCTTTGCTTGGAGTGGTTGAATGGCTGGAGTTTGGGGCTTGGCCTCCACAGCAGCCTGTGGTGAAAACGTGGTGGTGCTGGTGGATTAGTTCACCCTGGCAGCGTGAGCTGGTTGAGCCTGGGTGCATGATTTGAGTTGTTTTTCTTAGTGGCACTGCATGCTGTTGTGCCAATATCACTGTTTGCTTAACTGAACCAGGCTGACCCAGGTTAAAAACACCTTCTTTCATTGTTCCTCCATACCTTTTCTGGGTTGTTTTTGACCTGGGTCCATTCCCTTTACGGCTTGCCGTGCAGCTACAGAAATGCTTCACCTGTCGGCTGCAGTTAGGTGCTCTCTCTCACTGGCTGCAGGTGAAATGTGCCTTAGCAGGTGAGATGAAACTCTTCAGTTTCCTTTCAGTTCCTTTAAGCTGTCGGTCCTGCCAGAGGAGTACAGCCTGTAACCCAGCCTGGGGATGGGTATATCTCATTGCCTATGACTGCATTCTGCAACTGAACAAGTTAGGCAGAAAGAGCAATGGTTTTGCCTCCGTTGAGCAGCATGACACCCTTGATAACGGGGCTGCGGTTTGCTGAAACCCTGCCTAGGGTCCATGGCAGAAGGCAGTTGTGCAATATATAATGTGGACCCACCTGTATCATAAACAACCAGACCAATGCAACGCGTTTCTGCACTGGGGGCATTGATGGAGCAGTTGTATTGCTTGGGTGTAGCATGTTGGTACATCTTTGACCAATGCAACCCGTGGCCCAAAGGTGGCTGAGGGAGCAGTGAGGAGCAGGAGCCATTTCAGCCTCTTTGCTCCAGTTTGGAAGCAGTCCCTTGTTCTCTGGACAGCCTTTATCCAGAGGAGCTGTAGAAAAGCCTCTCACTCCCCTGAGAGCGCAGCCTGTGTTGGCACCGTGGGCGAACACATCATTGTTTTACCAGGTAGTCTTGGCCACTGCTTAATAGCTGAGGTTGTGTTACAAGGCTGCTAAGGCTGAATTTATTATGCCCAAGCATTGCAGTGCATTTGTATGCTTATCTAGAAGTTGGTGACATGATACGGCTGACTGCTGTCCCTGTTGAGTTTGAGCTGAATTCTTGTCTCAAGTCCAGCCTCAATTCTTCACCGTGAAGCAGTGCTGGAATTCCTCAAAGCAGCAGAGGCTGGGAATGAGAAAGACTGAGATTTTCAGAAGCCACTTGTGGCTGATTTAGCTTTGTTTCTGATTGGTGACCAACATGATGGCACTCTAGCAGTGCTGGGGTTTTTATTTAGATAGTGCAGTGGCAGTGCTTTTGAAACCCAAGCTGAAATCATGGCTCAGGTCCATGGTGTGTCACATAATGTACGCTCAGTTAAGCCACGCAGTGTGCACTTGGCTGGGTAGTATATAATGAGTTGCTTAAACGTGCCTAAATAGCAATGTAAGTATTTTTAGGGATGATTCATTGTTGGTCTCTCATTTAAATATGCGGGTTTACTTATTTTAACAACACCTTACTTTTCTAGCACCAGACAAAATAATGTTGAAGACAAATGTTTGGTTTTTTTGTCTGCCTTTTTGTTTTTCTTCCCCTACCCTCAGGACAGTTCGAGTGTTTCAGGCTCTCAAAAACCAGGACAACGAAATGCTGGACTGTCAAATGATGAAACTTCACGGCTTTATGTGAAGAAAACAATTGTGGTTGGCAACGTCTCCAAGTTAGTATCCAGAGTCTGAGGAATGGGGGGTTTTATAGGGATTAAATGGAATAGGAGGTTAACATTTGAAGACAAATAAAATTCCTAGGCTGTCACAGTATGAGATATTGCCCTTGAATAATCACTGTACCCAAGGCTACCCTCCTCAAGTGTCTGCATGAGTCTTTTTGTGGGAGGAGCAGATGTTTCAGTAGTAGTTTTATTTTTAGTAAGTAATTTTTTAAGTAATTTTAGTAGTTGTTTTCTTTTATTTTTATATACGGAGGCTTGAAATCTGTTTCTCTCAAGGGGAGTCTTTCAGCTTTTCCTAACCCGTTAGAAATCCCAAGTTTGTCCATGAAAATTTGGACAAGCAAGTTGTCCTAGTGGCTAATTCAGTGTGGCTATAGGGACAATGAGGGCTTTTTGAAAGCAAAAAAAAAAACCCCACAACCCTAAACCACCTGAGTGAGGAAAATTGTGAATTTTCAGCATAGTCTGAAGAAACTAATTTGGACAGTTTTTACTTACAATTTTTTTCCACAAAAAATTTAAGATGGGTAAATATACTTAACCTTTGAGGAAATTAGTGAAGAAAGGCATTCATTTTAGGAAGCTATGGACAAGTCCGGGTTGTAACTCTCCTCCCTCACACCGCTCAAGTCATTCTTGTCCTCTTGCATAGAACATAGCAAACATTTGGTGATGAGGCTTAGTGGTGTTAGAGCAGCGTCTTGAAAATCTACCTAAGCCTGGACTCAGAACCAAGTATTGACTATGAAGTTTCTTAACTGTTCTTATAATTTTTATAGGTGCTTTACCATCCCCATTTTTTTTTGCCTAATTTTTCCTGAAATGCTTTTTGTGGTATTTCCCTGTTTGGGGATTTTAATCTTGTATTTGTTTTTATAATTTCTTTGCCAGGTACATTCCCCCTGACAAGAGAGAAGAAAATGATCAGTCGACCCATAAATGGATGGTGTATGTCCGAGGCTCTCGGAGAGAACCCAGCATAAATCATTTTGTCAAGAAAGTGTGGTTTTTCCTCCATCCGAGCTATAAACCTAATGACCTGGTAGAAGTGAGGTAATAAGGAACTATTCCAGTCACCAGTCCAGTCTTTAGGCTTGCCAGCCTTACAGTGCCAAGTTTCTTAGGAAGTTAGCAACTTCTTTTCCTGAGTTAGTATTCCATGTCTGTCTTTAACCTCTGGCTTGGCTTGGCTTACTCCAAAATAAATAGTAAAATAGTTTAGTTTTAATGTAGCAAATGTGCCAGCCTTTTTTTGGTGTGTGGTTTTTTTGGGGTTTTTTGTTTTGTTTTAGTTTTGTTTTTACTGAGGAAAAGCATTCAATTGTTGCACTTTGTTTTCCATGCAGGTTTGTACATCTCCTGTGTCACACAGTCTGCTATGTAGGATAGACTTCTGTTGCTAAAAGAAGTCCTCCCAACCATTCCAGTGTGGAAAAAAAAGAGGACTCTCAAAGCTGTTTTGCCCATAGTTTTAATGAAACACGCATTTGGGCAAGAAAGTTATCCCTCTCCCAAATACTTCACTGTAGTGGGATCAGTGGCATTGGCTTCATGCTCCAAGGAATTTCCCATCAGTGTAAGGCTGCTGGTGCCTCAGGAACAGGGCAGCTTCTCTGTCCTCTCCCAAACTTGCATTCAATGCTGTGACCCTAAAGATATGAGCGGGGTCAGTTCTCTGTTTGCTGCAGGGAACTGCCCTGTCAGTCTCTCATTTTTGTTCCTTTGGATGCCTCCAGACTGCTTTGTGTCTTTCCAAGGAAATGATTCTCCACAGGACATTCAGCTGCCTCCTGGAGGAGGTTGGGGACACTGCCTGGGTGCAGAGTTGCGACTTAATTCTGGCAAAATTAAACTACTGAAAGGCAACTCCAGAAAGCCTTATCTGAGATGATAAATGTTGGTATGGCTCAGTAATGTTTTTGAGAAGGCAACTGTGAGCAGGGTGCAAGCAAACTCCTTATTTCCTGTAGAACATACTCAACTGCACTTGACTGCTGTATTTTTGTACCTTTCTCAGTTTCCAGTATTGATGTCAGTGCTGTTTGTCTTCTGTTATAGTCCCATCTGGTTAATTGGGTTCTTGTCACACAGCCCCTGTCATCATAGTGAACATTGATGTTCTGGACCTAAAATAGCCTTTAGACCTCTTGCATTTTGTCTTGTTGCAAAACTGCATTTGGGATTTACAATAACAAGCTGAAATACAAACAAAGTAAGGGTAAATGTTAGAGATAAATATGCCCTGCTTTTTTGGCTTGGAGAATGACGGTGGTTGAGTTACCTTTTCCTTGCTGTCTGTGTGGTGTTCTCTTGATGTTACACGAAGTGTGTGCCTTCTTGCTGCTAGATAGGGAATAGTAGAAAACGATTGCAAAATGCTGCATTGAAAACTCACCTTGCACCTGTGTTCTAGGAGGTGCCTTGGGGTTTTTTTTGAAACAAATATTTTTCATTTGGCATTGCACAGTTTTGGGTTTTTTTTAATCTCTTTTTAAAGATGCTTATTTCCTGTGTTCTCTCATCCAACAGTGTTTTACCATTTTCTTCCCTGTGCCCTTGAGCAAAATAAGAGTATGTTTTCAGCTGTTCAGAGCCATAAAATTCTCATTTCTGTGATTGCATTCTCTCTGTGGTGAATAGCAGGTCTGAAGATAGCTTTAGTTGTCAGCTAGAAAAACAGTCTTTGGCTTTCTGAAAAAGAGGTAGGTGAAAGCTATGCCACTTCTGCATCCAAAATGTGAATCACCATTTATTTCCAGAGAACCTCCATTTCACCTGACCAGGAGAGGCTGGGGAGAATTTCCTGTCAGAGTCCAGATACACTTCAAGGATAGCCAGAACAAGAGGATCGATATCATACACAATTTGAAGGTATTGGAACCAAATATTACAGAGAAAGGCAATTAAATGAGCTCTCCTGCGTCATCTAGAAAAGGCTCCGCTTCTGTGTGTGCTTCTGCCTCTCTCCATTGTGTTTATGTCCTGCTAGTTATTTGCACGTGAATAGTTGAGCTGGAGAATCAAGAAAAGATCCAGGAAAGCCTCTTACCTTGGCTATGCTTGAGGCAGTGCAGTAGCCAGGAAACCCAGCCTTGCAGAAGCTGGAATTGATTCTTCTCAGAGCAGCAAAGCATTTACCTGTTGTTTCCCTATGGTTTGAGATTTTTATCATATTCTCACTGGCTTTAACTTGATGGGATGCTGCAGGGCTGCCTCTCTGTTAGTAAAGTGGTTGCTGTCCCCGTTCGTTTCTTGTTCCTTTTGCAGAGAGCCTTCTTCTCCAACTCATTCACCTGTCCCACAGCACTCAATGGGATTTATAGTATGCAGTAGTCCTGGAAAACTAGGCCATTGCTCTTGTTTTCCTTCTAATTAGTAGTCCCTACCATTAGTGGCATTAAGTCCTGACTGGTTTAGGTTCCTGTTTCTTTCAGCAGCATGATTAGTTTTATTTAACCCTGCTTGCATTAATGAATTTCCTGCTAGTGTAGATACCTCATTGCAAGTATAGACAGTGGGGAAGGTCGAAAATACTGCCCTGGAACTTACATTTAATGCAGATGATGAGTAAAATGTATTATGTAATGAGTAATGTATTATGAGTCAAATGTGAGAGGTAACTTGGGGAGAAATTGGTAACAGGATGATGGACGTTGTGCAGCGAAGGGAGCCCAGCCTACAGAAGAAAACTGAGCCACTGCATGGCACGTGAGAACTCCAATCAGCAAATCTTCGCTGTTTGTGTACTGAGCCTGTGGCTGCTGAGAGGTGATGGGAGTGAGTGGCTGGGAGCCTGTCTGCCCCTGAGCTCTGAGCCATCACGAGCCTGTCCAACCCAGCTTCTCTCTGTAGGTGTCTTAATAGATGCCTGTGGGATTTTCTGCCTCTTTATCAGCTGATACTCAGTGTGAACAGTTATTTAATCAAAAGTTGTAGTGCAAACATAGCCTTTGTGCTGGTCAGTTTAAATCTCTGAGTTTTTTCTCATTGTTATTTCCTTACATTGACATCAGGAATAAAAAAGACCCCTCTTAGACTGAGATTGTATTTCTCCAACAATCTCATTTCCTTCAGCTTTTTTGCTCCTTTCTGCTTTGCTGCGGGCTTTGGGTCATGGTTGGCTTTTTTGCAGAAGAGAGGGTACTTAACAGAGCACACAGATTTCTTACCCTGTGGCCTCAAAAAATTGGGTGTGCTGCTGCTCAACTTACGTAGTTTCAACTCCTTTCAAACAAATTGTATTGTAAATTCTAGCTAATGTATTGCTTTGCCCTGGTTAATATAAATGTATTGTATTGTTTTACCCAGCTGGACAGGACCTACACGGGCCTGCAGACGCTTGGCGCAGAAACGGTGAGTCAGCGGGTGGTGGGGTGAATGTTGTGTTTTGATTTCCTTAAGGATGTTTAAAAAGAAAGAAATACACAGGACTAAGCACAGTGTCAGACCCATTTGATTTCACAATTTCTGGAACATAGATTTTGCTCTCTTCTTAAATGAAATTACTATGGCACCTTGTCACTATTCATGACAACAGTCATTTTTTTCCCCATTCCAGTTCAGGGGAGACTGTTTCCAGCTCTTTTTTCATAAAGAACTTGCACTGCAGTTTTAATTTTTATTTCTTTGTGAATCTTCTGGTGACAGATGTCTTCATTTGCATTCTGATGTGCTGCAGATCTCGTACATAAAGAATTTAAGTTGAAGGATCACCCAACTCTCCTGCTCAAATTTTGCAGTATATTAAGTGCTCTAAGTTTGTCAAGATTCAGTATCTTCATGGGAAATGAATACATAAATGAATTAACTCATAGTTTACCGTATCCCCAAAGTTTCTTTTTAATTATTATTTTGCCTTTGTTACTGTAGTGAATGGAAATTTTTATGCTGAAAGCATTACTTCAGCTTTTCCGTCTGTGGGGAAAGCATTAACGTGAGATGTCTACTGTGATTAAAGAACACTGCTGAAGAGTAGATAAGGTGGTGTGCTTCTTGAGGCCTTATCAAAAAAGGCAAGCTGCAGTTTTGTGCCTGTCCCTAAGGGGTATGCAGTCCTTTCCTTAGTTGGACACTTGGAGCTCGGCTCTGTCTTGCTTCCAGTGCTCACTACTGAGATTTTCCCACGACCTGAGAGATGTGCTGTTTTACTGTAGGGGTTAAATGTTGCAAGGTTTTTTGTCTTAGCTCAGGTGCTCCTGGACTTCTGGGAAGTCTCCCTGAAGGGTAGGGCAGTGTTGTGTGGAGGTGAGAGGAGGGAGAGGTTTCTGGACACTAAAATGAAAATAAAAGGCATAGTTATTTTCACTTTTTTATGTATTTACCTAGCTACCAAATAGTAATGTTGTCCTTTCTCCTATTTCTGGAAGGTAGTGGATGTGGAGCTACATAGGCATTCCCTTGGCGAGGAGTACGTCTTCTCCCAGTCTTCAGAGTCCGACCTTTCCGATGCTCCTGCATCTTTACCCCTGCCATTGAATATCCCAGCACCAGTCAAAGCTTCTTCACCAATTAAACAGTTGCGAGACTCCAGTCCAGATGCTTCTGTGGACAAAGGTAAAGCGAATGGGTGTTGGTGAAACTAGGAAACTTAGAACTTCAGCTCTTCTGGATACCTCCTCTTAATTCCTTTTGTGCCTCAAAGGTTACCAGTGCTACCTGCTCCTTGCTCATCCCAGATGATCATTTCCTTAATGCACTCTGAAATGTAATTCAGAAATTGTTATGGTTTATTTGGCTTCTGGTTGGTTTTGGTTTTTATTTTGTACCTAGAGTTTGTTAAGCAGGCTCCGTTTTGCTCAACATAGTGAATGTGGAGCTTTATGCAGCAGATGTCATTGGAAAAAAGATAGTTGAATAGCACTTGTTTTGCTCTTGACAGACTGTTTTTTGGAGGGTTTTTTAGGTTTCTGGATGTTTTGAGCATGTGTGTATTCATTTAAGGAATTATGTATGTGTTTAAGGAATTGATGGGGTCGTGTGTTCAGTTATATACGCTGGTGCCTAACGTAAGTTGACTGTGGGGGGACAGAAATCACTACATAACTGGTGTTGAAAATAGAGAGTGAAAAAGATGCAGTGTATGTTTGTCTGAGGGATGGCATCTGTGCATGTCTCATTCTCACCTTCCCCTGTAAGATTAGGAAATGCAGCGCCCATTGCAGTGGGGCAGCAATTGATGCCGTAGGATCATTTGAATAAACTGAAACAAGCCAGTGTTGGCCCCTGGGGCACACTGGTATGATTTTTTGTTTGCGTGAATTGGGAGAAACTGTTCCACTGTTAGCATTTAGCTTTATTTTCTGAAATATACTGTGTCAAGGCTTTTGTGGCAGACGTTGGTTAACTGGGCTGAGAAACAAGGGTGTCATCTGTGGTTTGCACATTTTAGTGTGAGAAATGTACTGGAAATAGCAACTTTATATTTCAAAATATGGTCACATGCAGCATGGTCTGATGCCTTTCTTGGTTTATCCTGACACTCCTGTGTTCAGGGAATGGTTTTAAGCTGGTGTCTGGCATGGTGCACTTTCTGGTAGGTGCCGTGATGCCCTGGCAGTGTTCTGGCTCAGCGAGAAGGATGTCCACTGTTTAAGTGCATGTGTTTAAGTGCAGTGTTTAAGTTTCACGGCTGGAAAAGGAGAAACACAACCAAATTTTAAATGCACAGGCTTTTATTCAAACAGGAAGATACGCAGCACCTTTAGGTGCCAACAGGAAGGAAGTAAACCTGCCTCTTTCTTACGCTGACAGACAGCAGCTCTTCTCATCGGCTCCAAGTTAATTGGTCTCCTTTTAACATCAGACAGATTGGCTTCCTTAACCCGGGTCAAAAGGCAGTAGGTGATCTCCTTGTGCTCTTACTCCAAAAAATGCACTGTGAGATTCCCTGTGAAGGAGATCCAGCTTTAGCCCTGACTGAGGACACCCGAAACTACCAGCAGCTTTTGGTCAATGGAAGGGTCATGCCAAGAAAACACATAAGAAGTGGCCGGTCGCCTGCCACAGCTGAACAAGCATGGCAGTGTTTTATTCTTCTGTTCAGAGACAAATCCAACAGGCTTGTGCAGGAGGAAACCCCTACCCTACGTTCTCCCTGTTCAGCGTTGCCCACCAGTTGCTTTTTCTTCCCTCTTTTGAGAGCGTGTTTGTCATACCTGAGTTTTGTTTGTGTAGAGAAGCACAGTAAGGAATCAGACGTCTCAGCCTAAGAATATTTCTCTTCTTTTCCCTGTTTTAATCAGGATTCCCTGGGAATGCTGAAACCGAAAGACATGCCACGTTTTATTCCCTGCCATCTTCGATAGAACGGACTCCCACCAAGTTAGCCACACAGAAAGTTGCCTTTGGCTCTCATGGAAATTCAGCTTTTCAACCCATTGCAGCTAGCTGTAAAATAGTGCCTCAAGGTCAGAGTCCAAGCCCTGCAGAGTCGCCAGGAAAATCCTTCCAGCCTATCACCATGAGTTGCAAGATTGTATCAGGTGAATGTTAGTTTACCTATCCCAATGCTGCTTCACCCTGGAAAATGAGAGTGAACCAGTTGGACTTGTTTTGTGTCCTTTCCCTGATTTCCTGCCTACGTTTGAACATCAGGCAGTAGGAAACTCTAGAGTAAGGAGCTAAGCACACTTCTTAATGTTCAAGGAAAAAAAAAATACAAGTGTGGAATGCTTCACATCAGATCAAAAGCTCTCCCTGTTCTTGAGTACTTTTAAGTATGAAAATGGCAGTCTTTAACTGGACTGCTACCCACAGAAAGGCCCAGGCAAGGACACATCTTCCATGTGGGTTATCTGTGTGTGGGAAGAAGCCGTTCTTCTTTCCCATGGTTTCAGACAACTGAATTAAGAAGATCTCTTTTTCTGATTATTGGGCAAATAATTAGGTTCAGCCTTGTAGACCATGATGCCATCCACTGGCTGATGTTTTACATCAGAGTTGTAACCTGCAGCTCACCCTGTCACATGTGGTGAAGCTGAAAGATGGCCTGTTACATCCCTTCATTTTCTGGTGTTCGGGGTAGAGAGAATGAAGCACTGGTTGTCAATACATGTGATTTCTGATTATCTGCTCCCACGTGATTTTCCTCAAGTGTCCCTAGTTTCCTGGTTTTTGCATTAAATTCTGGTATTTTTCCTTGACATCTTTCAACTCTACTAGGCTGATTTACATTTGAAACTATACTAAGTGCTTTCTTCTTTCTTAATAAGCTCTCCTCTTGATCTTCTTTTCCCAAGGCTTCCCAGAAAGCAAGGATTACAGGGGCCATCCTGTCTGTCTTAAATTCCTTGGACTATTTAAATATTTCCCTGATAAATATTTCTCCAAGGCTCTGCTGTCTGCTGAGAAGTGTCACCCCTTTCAGATTTCAAAAGCAGTTTAGAAGAGATGGGAATTTTATTTGATCAGCATTTATGTTTCATTTTAATTGTCAATCACTGCCAAGAAAGCAGATTAGCAGGCAGTTGAAGCTTAGTGTGCTTGCTGCTGTCTCTTTCTCTGATCACTTCCTTGCCTGTCCTTTGCTCTGCATTTCTTGCTTACTCCCTCACGCAGCTTTTTTCTTCTCTAGTTTTTCTCTCTCCTGGTTCTGTCACCCAGAAATTGCACATTTTACATTTTTGCTTTCAAAAGCTGCTGTAGTGAGAGCAGTGAAGAGTGTCCGTGTCTGTCTGGCTGCTGTATCGCACAGCCTTTTTATGTGACCTCCTCAGTTCCTGGCTCTTGTGTAGTCCACAGTACAGGCACTCAAAGGAAAGAGAGCACCTGTCAAGGAGCTCAGCTCTCTTTCTTCATCTCCTTGGGTGGACTGGTCTTGAGGTAAAGTCCCTCAGGATTCAGGGATGGATCAGGTAACTTCTCGAGGTCTCTTTAAGCCCTGCTTATCCTTGTAGACAGTGAACGTCCAGAGTAGGTATGAGCCATAAAGCTTTACATGCCTTTTTCCTTTCCTTCTGTCTTCTCTCGCTTTCTTGAAGTCCCTGTGATCTCTCTCAGGCTGGAAATTGCATCTTCCAAAAATGTTCCTTCTCTAAGACATTCAAATAAGTACTACTGTTGCTGTATGTTTATGTTCTCACAACATTTACAAGATAGAAGCGTTGGACTTTTTTTCTTAAGGTTCTCCAATATCGACCCCTAGTCCATCTCCGCTACCTCGTACCCCAACCTCCACTCCGGTGCACATGAAGCAAGGCTCTGCTAGTTCAGTCATTAATAATCCGTATATTGTTGTGGACAAGCCTGGACAGATGGTTGGAGCAGCAGCCACAAGCACAGGTGTGTAGTGTGATCACAGAAGGCAGTGGCTTAGTCTTATTCAATTTTATTCTCCCTTTACAATGATTAGTGTAATAACAGCATTTCAGCTTATGAAGATGGAGGGAGGTATTGCTGGTTTGCACAGCTGGCTAGTGTAACATGGCTAAGGGTATCTCAGACTTGAACGTGGCTTCCTTTAGGAAACAGCACACAGTGTAAAGCTGAAAGAAAGAAGAAACTTCTTCTCAGTGAGGGTGACAGAGCACTGGCCCAGGCTGCCCAGAGAGGTTGTGGAGTCTCCTTCTCTGCAGACATTCAAAACCCGCCTGGACGCCTTCCTGTGTAACCTCATCTGGGTGTTCCTGCTCCGGCAGGGGAATTGGACTGGATGAGCTTTTGAGGTCCCTTCCAATCCCTAACGTTCTGTGATTCTGTGTGAATTAAATTCACAGATACCTCTTCAAAATGATCCTGTTCTTTGCAGGCAAAACAGGAAGAGGAGAAAGCAATGTGGACTGTGGTGCACAGAGATTTAAACAGAGTGCACAGGTGGTTGGGTGAGGACTGTATTGTGGATGTGGGCAAAAAAAGCATGGAGAGTTTGCAGCGACTTAAGATCAGACTTAAGTTTCAGTGCATGGTGCTTCAGAAGTGTTAAAGTTGTTGAGTAGATGCGGGTTACCAGAATAACAGCTGTGTTAGCTTCTGTTACTGCTCTCAACTTCCAGCTGGCTGATTCCAGCTGGTTCAGATTCCTCTAACAGGATTCCCTCGGTGCTTCAGGGGTGACCTAAGCCTGGGGCCTGGGGGGAGGACTGAACTGCAGGAGGCAGGTGATGGGTATGGGAGTCAATTGATAATCTCTGTGTTGGGGCCAAAGGAAAGGTCACTCAAAAGCCATTTATTTGTTGTGGTTTGTGGCCAAGAACCAGCGTCTATTTTAAAACACACTCATCTGTGCATGTGCATGCTTGCCAGCATCTCAGAAGGATGCTTAAAGCCATGTGATGAACTGCAGCATCCGTGTACCACAAACCGTTCACTGGGCATGGTTCGAAAGTGCAGTAATTCTCTTAATGGTTCCTCCTTTGATCTGAGGAAACACGGCTGTCATGTTCATTTTAACTTCTTCACAGAGGGAGCTGGCAGCGAGAGCATAGTCACAGCTGAATTTTTTTAAGTATAACACTGAAGCTGTTCAACCAGTAGGATTTTTGGTTGATTGGTTGGGGGTTTTCTCTCTTTCTTCCTTTTCTCTTTCTTTATCTCCAGTCTGACTGTCTACTCTGCATATGTGGTTTATCATAGTTTGGGTAGCTTTTGTATTCCCCTAGCAGGGTTTTGTACATGGAGGGTGGGATCTGTAGATGCACCAGATGGTTTGGACATATGAGTCTTAACACCACTGAAGGTGCAGTTTCCCACCACGTTAGTGTGGTGTACGTATAGACTGGCCTGGAAGAAGCTGCCTGCTGCCTTTCCCTCCCCTGTACTCCTGCCACTTCACCCATGTCTTGGATGAGTCAGATCAGATCAGTGGCAGAGCAGAAGATTAATACCATGCTCTCCCCACATAGAGTTTCATCACATAGCCTCATCACCACATCCCCCTGTATGAGGGAGGGAGCAAGAGAGAACGTGGAACTGGCTTTTTGGCAAAAGCAACCAGGCTGGTTTGAGTGTAATAGGATATTAGAAAGTCACAGATCATATTTAAAATGAGGGGTGAGATCTGTAACTTCATGCTCTGTGAAAACCAGCCTTCCCAAACCCCATTATTGCAAGTGACTGCTCATTTAGTTCTAAATTAAGTGCAGATTGTAGTACAACTGTATGAGAGAGACTATTACTGTGTTTTCATGTGTGTAAACCATGGCTTTGGCATCTCTTAAACAAGCGAAACTAAGAAACCAAACCAACAGCAGTAACAAAACTGATAACGCAGGGTAAGTTTACCACTGAAGGCCCATCCATCTCAGGTTATCAGGAGAGTGCTGTGCTACATATGATACATGATGATTTTGCAAGAGCAGTCTTCCACAGACAGAGGAGCCTATGACTTCATTCTGTACTTCTGTTTTTTCCTTTTCCCTACCTCACTCTGTCCCTTTCTTTTGTTACTCCTCACTTTATCTCCCTCCTTTTCTGGCCTTCCTTTTCCCTCCCACTTCAGCCTCCTCCAAGCCTTCCCTCACGCCAGTGTCTGAGGCTAGCGTAGGTTCAGAGGGCTTTTGGGCAGTGGAGGATGCTACAGCCACAGCAACAAGTTCTGACTGACAGGTTGTTCATTTACTGTCCTGATTTCACAGTCACACCCATAGCTGATATCCTCAGTGTCCCAGGAAGATGCCTGACCATTTGCTTGCAGAAAAGAGAGTTCTGAATGGAGAGTTATCGTCTCTGGGGCGTGGATTCTGCAGGTGGAAATTTGGTAGTGGATTTGTTTTGTGCCCATGCCAACTCCCACTGACGTACCTCGTGGAGAATACAGAGTCAAAATGAAATGCTGTGTTTCATGTTAGAAGAGGTTTCATGTGTTCAGTGACGCTGCTGCGTAGCCTTCACCCGATATCTGCTTTATTTCCTGATGCACAGGGAGCCCGACCAGCAAACTGACCAGTGTTTGTCAGACCTCTCACGGAACTGGATCTCCTGTGTCAAAGACCCATGGGAGTGGTTTTGTCACCTCAGCTGTCAAGGTAATGCTCTCATTAGATGTGTACTTTCCACTTTAAAATCCAGCTTCGTATTTAAGTAGAGCTTTTTAGCGCTGTAAAATCTGCACGAGGGCAAGTTCTTTTGGTTGTCATTTCGTGTGAAGGTTTGCTGTGTCTAACAGATGGAGCCATATGAGAACATGGTGGTTATACAAGATGATAGTGTCACCTTGTGCAGCTCTAATTAGACTTGCCTACATCTCTTAAAGGCATTGCGCTTTTGCTTCTTTACAGGGAAATCCATGGAGGGCAGAGCTCTCAAAATGTCTTGTATTTCAAAAAAGCTCTTCTGTAGCTTTGATCGTCTTCACTTTGTTAGTGACAGTATGTGATTAAACCCAAGGTGCCTACCTCAAAACCTTCACTCTGTTCATTATTTCTGTAGAGCGGCTGCTCTTAGCAGCCTGAAAATAGCTCATTTAGTGGTTTTACAACTGCCTGCATTTAGAAAAATGTTTGTGTAAACAGTGGAGTAACCAAATGTGTAAACAGACAGTGATAAATAGGGTTCATGCTTCTGATCTGCAAAGCCCAAAAGGTATGGAGCTGAACTGTCTCACATAAAATCTCTCCCACATCTTGTGCTAGGAAGGATATTTCTGGCAGGGAAGTGGCGTCAGTGAGGCTCTTTCAGAAAGCAGCTGGTGGGTGGGCTGCTGAAAATGGGAGCGTTTCCCTGTCTCCAAGTCACAAGAATATTAATGGAGGATATGGTAGGGTGCAAGGCTTGCCAGTCAGCCTGCAGAGAGCAAATCACTTCACATTTGGAACTTAAATGCTTCCCATGTCTGTTAGGGGAAAAAAACGAGGATTGCTCACTGAAGCAGTTAGTTTGGAGCAGCATTTTGGGTATCAGGTGTGCAGCTCTTCAGCTTTTAAGAGCCTGTCTGCTCAGATGGTTTTCACTTAATATGTTGAAAACCATTCATTAGTCTTTAAAAAAAACAGAACTGTAACAAACTTCCTCCAATGCATTTGACTTCTGTACCAGCCTCAGCTCCATAAATGCCAGGTGCATGATTTTGCAGATGTGGAAGTGTTTTTTTCCTCCATTTAGTTATGTAGCCTCGCTGTTTCTGCCAGGTGGTGAGTTCTGCCTGGAAAGACTGCCTGCCATCACAAATTTCTGGTTACAGGAGAGCAAAAATTCATCTGAGATAATTTTGCCTGCAGACTTAAATTGAACATTTTTACCCACTTCGTATGTTTTTTAATCTTACCTTGTCTTTTCTCTCTGAGATTGTGTACAGAATGGCTGAAGCTGGTAGGAACCTCTGGAGATGATCCAGTCCAACTGCCCTGCTCAAAGCAGGGTCAGTTAAAAGATTGCTCAGGAGCTGCGCTCAAAAGTGTCTCAAAGGCTGGAGAGTCCACAGCCTCTCTGGGCAACTTGTTCCAGTGTTTGACCACCAGTAAATTAAACAAAACAAAACAAAAACCAACGATGACAAAAAAAAAGTCCCCCAAATATTACAGTTAAATGGAATTTCCCACGTTTCAGTTTTTCAGTTTATGTTCATTGACTCTTGTCCTTTCATTAGATTGAGCATTGAGCATTGTCTGGCTTGATCTTCTTTCCACCTTCTCATCAGGAATACATTTATAAGAGCCCCTCTCAGCTTGAATTGTACAGCTCTGAAATGCTTTGTACAAAAAGCTGGTTGGGGAACATCAGTCAGTCTCTTTCACCTGTATGTGATACGGTAAGAAACAGTTACTGCTGTTGGAAATGTCACTTCCCAAATAAAAATTTGTAGGTTGCATTAAGTATATTACACTCATTTTACTCAAGTGTTGACTGATTTTGGAAATGTCTTATTTTGTACAGGTAATTTTGCTTGTCCAGATGATCCCTGCTACCCTTCATTAGCAGTCACTTGTTTTATATCTTGTATTGGACATTTAACCAATTTTTGTGCCGTGTCTTCCCATTTGCAGCAGGAGGATTCTCTGTTTGCCACCATGCCACCCCTTTGTCCCATCGGGAGTCATTCCAAGGTGCAAAGCCCCAAATCGGTCACTGGAGGACTTGGAGCCTTTACAAAGGTATTCCTCTTGGCTTTGTGTTGGGACAAGGAGCCAAATAGTGCCATTTCTTTCTGACTTGTACCACAAGCCATGTAACTTCCAGTGCATGTAAAACTGGTACTGGAACGGATGTGTCTTGTTCTCAAGGGCTCTCTAGCACCTCTCGAAAATGTAACGTGTTTTCTTTTCCTTCCCTGTGGCTCTGCTGTGCCTGTGATCTTTCTCTTTTTCTCCTCTTATATCCTTTTTTGTTTTCCTTTGAACCACTGTCGTACTGAGGCTGATATTTTAAAAGCTATTTTCAGTGGGATACAGTAAAAGTAAACTGCAGTAGATCTGTCAGGAGCTTCTTAAAAAATGATATAGAGATTTCTGAACCTCAGATGTTGCTGCTTCTGAGTACATTTCCTTAAATGTTGCCATCTGTAATTTAAAGTTACTTCTGGCAGTATTAGGTGATCCAAGTAAAAAGTGGAAGAATGCTTCCTACCAGTTGCAGCACCTACAGCCACCTAACACAAAAAAACCCCTCTATCCTTTCTCTTAGGGATTAGATTTAGGGCTTGTTCCAGAGAAACATAAAACACACACAAGAGAGTAATGTCAAATTACAATATCTGTAGCTATAATAATGGTTGTAATTTTGCAGGGTAGAAAAAAAATGAGGTTTAGCACGTGTTCTGAGCAGGAAGGTGCTTACAAATTTGAAACCTTAAAGTGTTGTGGCTCCATGCTGAGGTGCAGGGCCTGAAGAGGTCGGGTCTGGCCAAGTCCATTGCTAGTATAAGTAATAGTTATAATATTACTAGCAATTTCTGTGATTCCTTTGTTTCTCTGAGCACCTCTCAAATCTGGAACGCATTGGTAAGTGCAGACACCTCCCCATGTGCTTGTGTGTTGGGAGTAGCCCTCATCTTGGAGCTGAGTTAGAGAGTCTACTTGGTGGTAAGCACCACATCTGAGTTCACTGACTGTTGCCTGCCCTTTCCTGTAGACGGGCTGCTCCAGAAATCATCTCCAGTGATTTAAAGTTTTTTCTTATTATTATTTCTTCCTATTTACAAGGTGATAATAAAGCAGGAGCCAGGAGAGCTGCCCCAGCAACCCCAACTACCAGTGACAGGGACAACCACGCAGACCTCGGTGCAGCAATATGTCACTGTCAAAGGGAGCCACATGTTAGCCTTGTCACCGCAGAAGCCAGTCGTGAGCACGGGCGAGGGGACGGTGCAGTCTAAGGTATGAGGCACTTGGGCATCTTTGGTGTGGTGTGAGCTGTCTTACCCGTGGTTTTATTGCAACACTACATGCTTCTCTGGGACACAGCACTGTGGTTAGCTCATTTTCCCATGTGCATGGCTCATGTCATGCTTACCTGTAGCCCTTGAGAAGGGAGCAGGGCGAGCAGGCACCATTGCATTTCCTTGTGTACAGGGAACGTTTCCCACTGCTGCCTAATCTGTTGCAACAGTGGGGTTGGGGGTGGATTTGAACTGGAGCCTGTCACCACTGAAAGTTGGTTCCCATCGTCAGCTCTTGCTGAAAATCATCCAGGTCTTTCTGTAAGAGGAGGCAAATGCTTTCCTTGGACTGCAGGCCTGCACCAAAAAAGAACAAGACAAACATAGAGTGGGGTGGAGGCTGAGCCAGAACTAGCATAGGTGGAAGCAGCCCTACTTGAGTGGCAGCTCCAGTGTGGTCTTGTAGGAGTCTGTGCCAAGGCAGTGCTGCTGTACAGACAGCAGTGATGCAGCTTCTGAGAAGGCACGGTAACTGTGCAATGACAGGATGGCAGATGTGTCAGAAATTGTCTTCATTCTTGCCCCTTTCCATTGCGGATAGAGTCAAATCATGTGCCAAGCACAGGAGACTACATATGGAGCTTTCACTTTTGCATAAGTAAATACGTATTTACATTTAGAGCAGTTCATTGTCTTTTACTGCCTTATTTGCCTGTTTGAGCAGGTTTGCAAACTCGTGTTTTCCTGCAGTTACTGCCAGTACATAAAATTGAAGCATTTTATGGATTCTGCTTTGAGGCCCTGGTTTTCTCAGGGAGTCTGTTCCCATGAATCTGTTGAAACTAAATTTCGGGATCTCTGTGCTTTGCCAAGGCAAGCTTTATTCAGCTGGAATGAAGCCATTGCTTATATATCATAAAAATGGAAGTGCCCTGTAATTTGAATGCACTTAATCTTTTGTGGGTGCTCCGAAATCCCAGTTGTGTTTAACAGTTTATCTTTTTTTCCTTGGGATTGGCCTCTTGCCCATTTAATTTTGTTTCTGAATGAATAGCTTTTATACGTGACTAGACACGTATCCAGTGTCCTGAAATGCCTAGAGATGGAGGTAGCAAACCAGCTGGAATTCACGTGGTTGCTCTTGCCAGCGGCACATCATCCAATACTTATTTGTTGCAGGTCGTTGGCATTCCGGTTGGTTCTGCTTTGCAGTCGACAGTGAAACAAGCAGTGGCTATAAGTGGTGGCCAGATACTTGTGGCAAAATCTAGCTCTTCGGTAGCAAAGGCTGTTGGTCCGAAGCAGGTTGTGACTCAAGGTGTAGCCAAAGCCATCGTGAGCGGAGGCGGAGGGACAATTGTTGCTCAGCCTGTGCAGACTATAACAAAGGCGCAAGTTTCTTCCACAGGTGCTCAGAAAAGTACATCTCAAGGCTCAGGTAGAGTAATTTTACACTTTGTTAATAGCTCATGGTGGGTAGACTTTGAGAGTCTGTAATGGTTTCTTCAGCTGCAAAATAAATGTGTGATTGAAAAACTTCAAGATGAGTAGAGAGATGTGGAGAGAAATTCAGACTGATTAAGATTAGTAATAAAGAAAATGTTAACTCATCTGTAAGGGGGAAGAGGGAGCACAAGTACATTAAAACATGCGGTGTTCTGTGACACGTACAGAAGACCTAGCAGACTCTCTCGGAGCCAGGCTTCACATTTTTGCCCAGCATTGTGGTCCTTAGATGCTCAAAGGGCTCCACATAAATCCAGCCAACAAGAGCCAAACTGTCCTTATTGCATCTTCGCCAGTGCTTACAGTTACAGGAGCACGGGCAGAAGCACCTCAGCTGCTTCTGCACGCAGCTGGCTTTAGCTGAGCGTGTTAGCTCAAGCTCTGGACTGTCTGAAAGGCATTGTGTGGCCTCTGGGCTGGACTAAGCCTGTAGACCCCATGGCTGAGCCACTTTGGCCTGCAGCCGTAAGTGGTACCGCACACAGAGAGATTTTACCTATTTGAGAAACTGGGCATCACTGGTGGAGTTCATCTGCAGTTAGGTCAGCTAAGTATGGATTTTCAAAGGCTAGCTGCATGTCACTCCTGGTACTTTCATCATCTGCAGATTTCAATGCACGCTGCTTTCAGCAGGTAGTAGTTTTATTTATTTTTATTCTTTCTTTCTAGTGATGGCTACACTGCAGTTACCAGCCACCAACCTGGCAAACTTGGCGAACTTACCACCAGGCACCAAGCTGTACCTCACCACCAACAGCAAGAATCCTTCTGGGAAAGGAAAACTGCTTCTGATACCCCAAGGAGCCATACTGCGAGCCACAAATAATGCTAGTTAGTCTTGCAGGGAAATCTAATGAGTTAAATAATGTAATCACTGCATAATTAATATGTTTGGCATTTTTGCTATAAAGCATCCTGGTACAGTGGAAGTCAGTAATGGGATGGGGTTTCTTTGTTCACAGCAGCACAGTATGTGCTGCATTTTAAGACTGAGGTCTCACAAGTGTCTTCTGTTTCAGATGAAGCTGCTTTTCATGCAGTGCTCTCAATGTCTTTCTCTCTGTACTGAAACCAGACAGTTTAATTTTCCACAAAATATAGCAAAGGGTTGTCTTTGACTCTTCCTTGAGATCTGTAGGAAGACACAACTGCATTTTTGTGATGGGGAACTGAGATGGGTTTGAATCCAGTTGTGAAAGCTATAAAGAAGTAATGGAATGACACCCTGGAGAAACTAGAAACATTAAAAACTAACTTTGAAAAGGACAAGATACCCTATCTGGAATGAGGGAAAGAAATTGTTTTGAATGTTGATAAAATGTTTGGCCTTAAGCTATTATGACCAGCAGAAACACTTTTTTTTGTTGATGGGCTTGTGAATCAAAGTTGCTATGAAATACCTTTGAGAATAAGGTGTATATATATAATTTCCATTGCTGAAATAGTTCTGGTGTGCAATATTTTGTTTATAGCGTGTAGGGAAATTATACTGCAGGTTTTGGACTGGGTAGATGAAAAGTTTTGTTGTGAGCTTTCTCCAGAATGCTCCTTTTGAGGCTGGCGGTTGGGATGGGAGATGGATTGGGTGTAAAGTTTGGGCTCCCAGTTTTGATACTGGCAGCGAAGAAGAGATATTATTCTGCTTAATATGTAAGGCTGTAAATACCAGCAACATAGCAATAGAGTACGTGTCACTGAAGTAGATAATCTTGCTGAAGGTATTTTTGGGCTGTAGAACTTGTGATGAGGGCCCCATTGCTTGAGATTTAGAGGCAGCTGGAACAGTCCGGTTTTGACAAGAAAACAATCTCACAGGCATCAAGGAAGAGCAAATACTTGTGATTTTTTTATGACAGAGCTATAAATATTTTTTTTTTTACCCTTGTTTCTTAATGAGAGACTGCAAAAATCAGTGTTCAGGCTGTTGCTTCTGGAGGCAGAGTGAAAGCATCACTGCAAGTTACCACTGCTTGGCATCTATGATCTAATATTTTTTTTAACAAAATTACAGTGGAACAGCCAACGTAAGTAAAATTAAGAAGCCAGTGGGATTCAGACTGTTTCTAGGGCTTTTGCTGCTGATTCATATCCTGCAAAAGGCTGATGAAAAGACTGTTCATCTGTTGGACAGCATTTTCTTTTGATAGAAAATTCACAGCAGCCTGAAACGAGCTTTGCTTGCTTTCCAGTCCTCCTGATTTCCCCCATAGCTCCTTTCCTTCATGGCGTTTGCAGAGCTGTAAGAGAGCACAGCAGCACATCTGAAGTGTGCTGTACTGTAGTCAGCTGCAATACCTGTGGCAGCAAATGTCTTGTTTTCAGTTACTGTTATATACAGGGATGCTTTAGCAGCTAACAGTGTCTGGCTACCAAAAGGTCAAGCCTTTTCTTCTGGTTACAGGTCTCCAATCTGGTTCTTCTACAAATAGTGGAGGAGGAGGAGGAGGAGGAGGAACAACCCAAAGCACAAGCAGTAACTTGTCACAACACCTCACCTATACATCCTACATCCTGAAGCAGACACCCCAGGTCAGTGGCGTAAGCATCTCAGTTGAAGCAGGTTGACGTATCAGGCTGCAGTAGTGTTAGGTGGATGTCCTGTGGTTCTGTAGTACACCAAATATTCTTGAATTAGGGGATTTAGGTCTTCTTTAACAACCCTTGCAGCTTTTCCCTCTGCCAGGCACCTGCTTTACCACTTGCTGTTGCTATAGGCACATCTCTGCCCCTCACCTCCCCTTGCAGGGTCTTTGCAGGCTGAGAAAGCAGCACTGAGTAAGGGTAGTGTAAGCAGTGAGTGGAAAAGAGACACTGTGATAAGAAGCCAGGTTGGAGAGGGCTTTGAGCAACCTGGGCTGGTGGGAGGTGTCCCTGCCCATGGCAGGGGAGTTGGACTGGGTGAGCTTTAAAGTCCCTTCCAACCCAAACCAAATTCTGTGGTATGATAAGAGCACCTGGTGGCAGGGCCACAAGGTGCACTGAAACAGGAGAAGTGATACGATGGAGATCATGCTGGAAGAGCTGTCTTACACAGTAGGGTATGTAAGAGTTGGAAGAAAGCACAAGAGATAGAAGAAGAAAGGAGAGTTACTGGAGTGTAACAGCAAGGCCGAGTAAGAAAGAAAAATGAGGAAACAGAAGGTGGTGTGAAGGGATCCGTGTGTGACAGTGGGTGAAGGAAGCCTCTGAAGGGTGGCAACTGAATACTGATGTGAAGCAGGCCAGGTGGCAGGGTCTCAGGTGGTAGGTTGTTGGAGTGTACACCTCCAGTTGTCACTGTGATTTCTGTATGCTGAGCTCCTGAAAATAGTCTTTATGGGGGGACCAAATGCATTTTGAAGTGAGATGACAGAATGTCTGTATTTCTCTCTTTTTGCTTGCCTAGCCCTCTCTGATCTTGCATGCTAAGCAGCATTTGTCACAAAGAGTAAACTTGAAGAGCATAAATTAGTGTGTTAAGTTGTTGTGGATGCCTCTGACAAGACAGGAAACGGATTGTGGCTTTTTCACCCCTTCCTTTGTGTCAGAAAGTGTTCTTCCTCAAGAAGAGAAGGCTGCATCCAGCTCTTAGTGCAGAAGCATCCACTGTAGTTAGCAGTGCCTTGTTTAGAAGACAAGATGTTATTGTTGCATTGTAACTACACGTTTTTATCCTTTATTGACACTCTTGGATTTCTGTGGACTCTCAACTGTGTTTCAAAGTGCTGACCTCCCTAACTTGTTTCTGGAGCAGGGCACCTTTCTGGTCGGCCAGCCTTCTCCTCAGAGTTCTGGGAAGCAGCTGACTCCAGCTTCAGTCGTTCAGGGCAGCGTAGGAGTTGGAGCATCTTCCACACAAGGACAAGCACTGAAAGTGATAACTGGACAGAAAACAGCTCTGTTTACACAGGTAATGTGCAGATGATGCATTTCTCCCTTAGCTGTTAGCATTTTGTCAGGTAAAGTGTAGGAACCACAGCCATGAGAGTGTTTCCTTTTGTAGTTTTGTTTGGGTTTTGTACGATTCTGACGCTGACTGTACTATGATGAGGAAAGCACATGATGGCCTACTTTGATATGCAGGTATTGGACCACAGTTTTCCAGCTTTATTTCTGTTCTCAGAGTGGGTCATGTGTAAGCTTGGGTTGCTACTTCGTAAATGTGCTCCGGGATTTTGTAATGAAATGGAATTAGAGAAGTGAATACAGTCAGGTGCAAAAAGGTGCTGAAGTATTTGAGCCTTAGAAAAGGAAAGTACACCTGCTAAAGCTCTTAAAAATTTTTGGGTTTGGTATCCTTCAGAGGTTCTCCTTTTAAAATCTGCCAAGTGGTCTCCATGAAATTCAGACTCCCCAAGAGTACTCGTAATTGACCATCCAGAACTCAAGATTGATGGGCATATTTTTGCAAAGTCAACAGTTTGATAAAGTTGGTTTCTGAGGTGATAATTTTGTTCCAGCTATTACTGCCACAATTTGCCTTTATCAAAAGTATTTTGAAAATATTTTTCAGTAATATAAAAAGCATTTGTCTTGTTTTGTTCTTGTCATGGGTTGGCTTTTTTTAAAGTAAGTTTTTAAAAAATCCAAACAAATGCACCTCTTATTCCTTATGCTGAATTCTTTTTCGAAGGCTGCACCCAGTGGACAGACATCGCTGGTGAAAATCTCAGATGGGTCTATAAAGTCAGTGCCTGCCTCATCCCAGCTCTCCAAACCTGGCACCACTGTGCTGAGAGTATCAGGAGGTGTTATCACCACGGCTGCTGCTCCTGCCATGACCCTGCCCACAAACGGGGTGGCCCAGGTGACAAACAACTTAGTCAATATTCTCTAATAGTGTTTGCACTTTAGCCAGGATAATCCCCAGGAAAGGACAACTTCTGCTTTTCCCCTATTGGGATTCTTCTCAGTCAGTGTTGCTGGTGGGTCTGGTTTTACCTGTGCACACAACTCCTTTTCTGTTGGGTTGTTTGCTGTTTAGCTTGAAGTAATACCTGTGAAGAAACAAGAGGAGAAGAGAAACTGAAACTTGCACTTCCTTTCTTTTAATGTTGTTAAAATTCAGGTAGGCAGGGAGGGCATAATCTGAACCAGCTTTTGCAGTCATACGGGTCAGATTTTTTGGGCTGCACAACTTTCAAACAGCAAATCTGCTGCCAGTACAAAAATTTGCAGAAGCACGTGAAATGCCTGAAGCTCTTTATCCAGCAGTAACCAGGCTGTGGGTTGCTCTTCTGAGATCACAGATTCTCCAAAGTGTTTAGTGCCCAACAGATTTTTGGAGTCTGGCATTGGACCTGGCTCCAGATACTATCATAGCAGTTGTGGCAGCAGTTCCTGTGTGCACCATTTCACTTTTTCAGCTTGAAACAGCCTCTGTTCTACAAGTAGCATCATTGTATGTGGGCTTTTGGACATGTGCTTGAGAACCTCTTGCTTCTTAATCACTGATAGATAAACATCGGGTTTTGCTGCTTCTAGCTATTACCTCATTGTGCTTGTTGTTGAATCATCTATGGCATGAAAAGAAATCTGTTATCCCTCTCTGCCTCTTTTATGCAGCAAATAGATAATGCAGGTTCCAGTTCATCCTCTTCTGGAACTCCTGCAGCAAAGACACCTGGACAGCAACACCAAATCTGTATAAGCCAGAGCCAGTCTACTTCATCAATAGTGAATAAGACTACCACTTCCACTGTTGTAAGTGTTGCTTCTCTGATGACTACACCAGCACCTGTGACTGGAAAAGCTGCAGTATCAGGTATTAAACTCCCTTCATGCATTTCCTATGGAAAGTTAGGATCCAGGTGTGAGTTCTTTAGATGTCTTCACTGTAAATGGAAGAATATAGTCACCTGCATTTGTGAACGTGTAAAAATTGTGCTTTCTAAAACATCCCTTATTAGCATAACTTTTGGCTTAGCCAAAGGGATTTCTAAGTAATTTGGCGTCCTGTCACATCAGTGCGTTGACTGTAACGGTTACAAATAACAGCATGAGTTGCCCGTTGGTACTGGAGAGGGATTTCAGTTTTCATGCCAAGCTCTCATTAGAAGCTGCATTCTGCCTGTTGAAGAGCACGGTGTGTCACTGAATGCCAGAACTATCGATGTATCAGCAACGCTAAAGACTTGACTAGTTTGTGAAAGTGAGACTTCACTGAAGTTGGAGGAGCTGCATGAGCAGAATTTGGCTCTGAGGCTTTGCATCTGCTCTGTTTGGCTTGGAAAGGAGAGAGATTTGCTTAGGGGGAACTGAAGGCTTTGAAGTCAAAATCCATTAAGTGCAGTGAGGTAGGTTGGATCGGGAATGATTCAAGTTAGGGATGAGGACATAAGGATGGGCTGCCCTTCTGTAGAGAAGAGTTTTCCTTATTTATTTTAATTGTTCTCAAGTATCTTTTCTATCATGGAGAGCAAATATGGCAAGTTTAACTTGGGTATTATGGGTTAAAATTAGAGATTTTCATTTTGTCTCCTGATTTACCTGCTGGCGCGTTCTGTTCATTTGAAGTGACTTCTTACTAAGTGGAAATAGAGTACAAATGCAGAAAAGAGAAAGTAAGTGACGCTGAGCCCATCTGACAGTGTCTTCTTAGAGCAGCTCTTCTTGTTTCCTACATACAGAGTCTCCCAAACTCCTCCTTTTTCCATCACTGTTTGCCAGAGTTTGAAACTAAGGGAGTCTGTGAAGACTGTCACAATTCTGCAATAAGCACTTTAATATTTTCCTCTTTGCAAACAAAGCGGCAAGGGTTGTTGGTTTGGGTTTTTTTACGCTATTCTAAATAGCTTTCAGATTAAGACTGCCATTTAAGTATGAAGGTGTCATCTAGATTTTTATTTTTTTTTAATATGAGACACTAACTTTATTATGAATCCCAAAAGAAGCAGTTATTTTGATATTTAAAAAAAACAAACACCACAAAACAAAACCACATTTGTTAATATTCTGGAGATTTCTATTTTGAAAAGCAGCTTTGCAAAAAGAATGTCAGATTTTCCCATTGTTTTGCAATGAACAATGTCTCCCACCCATCAGGATGATGGAGATAGTTGAAAATGTTCCTTCTGACTCACCTTGCTGTTAGGGTCTCTTGCTGTGCTATCCTGACACATGTGAGCATCACACATTTGGGACATCCCTCTGGGCACACGTTTAAATGATGCACTTTCTCAAAGTGTGATGAACTGTTCTGGGAAGAGACTTGCAAAGCCATGAGCATTGAATGCCTCGCTGGAGACTGGGTCTATGCCAAGAGAGACCTGCTTCACCATTTAGCATCCCCAGAAGAAGTGCTGGGGGTCAGTGCATCAAAGGGAGCCAGCTCGGTCATCCTAGGGTTGTGTGTTTGAGGAGGCTGGAGGTGGAAGAAAAGATTTGGCCAAGAAGCGAAGCAGTCAAATTTTTAATCCTAAAAATATGGGCTTCTATTTAAATGAGTCTTAAGTAGACTAAAATGTTGAAAAAATTAATTGGTAATACTAGTTTAACCTTCTTGCCTGGCTGTGAAAGCCTTACTGACCAGTGCTATGCATCTTCCAAACCAAGAGGTATCTTCACCAGATCTTGCATGTCTAGTCCTTGGAAGGCAGTTATTTTTATTACACAATAAGATTAAATCATGAGGGAAATGGAAACTTTATGCTGAAACAAATCGTGAATATAAAATTACTGCCATGAAACTTAAGAAATGCACTGTTGGCAATGATCTGAATTAGCAGCCTATTACATTTCCACAAGCTGAAGAAAAGTTAGCTATAGCCTGAATACAGTTCTATTGTAAGGAGCTGATTTACCGCTAGAAAGGATGGGCATAGGCCCAAATCTCAGTGTTGGAGTGCTGGCTGTGGTGGCTTGAGGTGTCATCACTGTGGAGGGGAGAGCTGGTGGACAAGTGACGAGTGCTCCTCGCCCATGGCCCTGTGGCACAGCTTGGAGCCATGCAGGTTTCCACCAAAGTCACTGGGTGCTGCTGTTGGTAATATCTGAATATGCTGCTTCTTGTTTTATCCTCTACTAAAACCAGTGATTTAATTCAGCCCCCTCTTTAATACGCTTCATAGCTTGATTTGTCATCCTTATGGATGCATTCAGTGCATGTTACAGAAAGACACAGGGCACTAGCTTCTGGTATGTCCTTCATCAGGCTTGCTGTGCAGCCTTGGGCTTGTCACTTAGTTAAAACGTGGTTGGTTGTGCTCTGCTGACTGCAGTGGATGCTGCTAAGCTGAATTGCAGAGGTGTGTGCAGCACTTCAGTGAGAGTGGCCGCGTAAGTACAACAGAGCTGTTGGTCACTGGCTTCCCAGACCCTTGAGCACAAGGTCTCATTCTGACCAGAGAGCTTTTTACCCTGTGCTGAGCCTGCTTCAGTTGAAAGGTTTGTGTTGCATCAACTTTTGCTTAAGATTAATTAGGTAATTAGGAAACTTGCTTCACAAACACCAGAGTGCTGTGCAGCATGTAACACTGTGCGCGCTGTGGTGCAGCACCCCCGTATTTTAGCGGTCATTTGTGTCAGTAAAAACTTGCCTGACAGTTCACCGGCCTGGCTTGTTGAAAGGGTAGCAGTGCTAGCTTACTAGTTCAGGCAGGAAGGGAGAGAAGTAGCTGGAGATGAACAAAGTGGTGTGTTTTATTTAACATTTTGTCTTCCGTTCTTCTTGCAGGGTTGCTAAAAATCCACTCAAATCAGTCTAGTCCACAGCAGGCTGTTCTGACAGTTCCCAGCCAGCTTAAACAGCTCGGTGTAAACACAGCTTCTGGAGGTGTTCAGACAATACTCATGCCTATGAACAAAGGTAAAGGGCAGAGGAGGATGACAGACGGTGTTTGAAAATCCCCTTTGGCGCAGGGTAGCTCTTGGTCACTGTTGGCATACCTGGTCCAAAGTTAGAGGTAGACGAAAATGTAGCAAGGAAATTAATCCCTAAACTTTGTGCTGCAAACACTGTGTTGCTTCTGAACATGGTTATTTGTCATAGTGTATGAAGTTTGATTCTTTTTTTCTTCTTCTTTTCTTTGTTGTTTTTTTTGGTTGGTGGTGGTTTGTTGGGTTTTTTTTTTCTTTGCTGTTCCTCTCCAGTGATACAGTCACTTTCTGCCAGCAAAGTTTCCACTGTTACAGCTGTCACAGCAGCAACTACGGTTGTCCCTAGTCCCTCTACAGCATCTATCACTAAAGGTAACAAGAAATTTCTCAGTAAGATAAGTAGTAGAAATAAGCTGGTGCTGGTCCACACAAGTGGCCTGACTATGAAAGTAGACACTGACTGGGTTTATTTATTTGCTTTATTAGTAGAGTTTAAATCAAGTAAAAACGGCACTTGGGGACTACAAAATTTACAGTGACTTCCTTCTCAAGAAGAAGTACAGAGAGAAATTAGGATGTTTTAGAAAGCTACCTTAACCATTCATTGTTTCAATCCATGTTTGCAGACATGTATTTAATCATAGTGCTGTCCTCAGAATAGTGACTGTGGTGAAACATACTGTGGAGAATGCTTTCCAGCAGCACCAGATGTAGACAGCACGTGTACTTGTGCCCACACAAGGGGGAGAGATGTACATACAGTACTTCCCAAAATAATGCGTAGGCCAGAGCTGAGATACTGAAAGTCCAGTTCTTGCAGAACTGTTCTGCAGCTCTCCCATCCCAGATGAATGACCAGACTGTGCCTGGCTGCTCTGGATTGGGAACACCTCTCTCTCCTGCTCCTGTCTCACCGGGGTTCTATCCTAGGCACGAGAAAGTTCACTGATGGAAAAATCAGTGAGGTCTGAGAAAAGGTTTTCACTTTTAAATGTCACTTTTTGCTAAAACTTGCAGTAGTGTTCTCTCCAGCTCTTTGTTTACAGAAGAACCAATGTACTTTTGCAAGCAGTCCTGTTTAAATGAGGCAGTCGTATGCAAGACATCAGCAACTGATGATGCAGATGCAAATTTTCTAAAAAGGATGAGATAGGAACATGCTGAGATGTGGGGATGAGGGACACATGTTCTGGTGGCTTGCTTTCCTTCAGCAGACTTGAAGGCCAAATTTGTTCATGCTTTACAATTGCAGACTAGAAATTAAGTGATGTTATGTAAAACCCTTAGTCTTACCAGAGTCTCACAGGACGCTATCAGGCTGACTGGTACTTTTTGTCTCTAAAAATGCCTTCTGTTTCTTTGAAGTTAAGATGGAGCCTGATTCAACAGGACAAAACTGCGCTTCTGTGGGTACCCAGGAAGGCCAACCAGCAGTAAAAGCAGAAGAGAGCACCGAACTCGGAAATTACGTTATCAAGTAATTGTTCATTCCTTTGTAAGGATTTCTGATCTTTGAAATACCAGGGGGAAAGGAGGAGATTCTAGGGATATGTGCAATAGTGTTAAGTTTGAGCTAGAAATGCATTACAAAATCTTTTGTCCCATACTCTGCTGTATCAGTGCTAATCCTGTTGGCTGGCATTTGTTTTGGACAGTGTTGCAATATTTTATTTGTAAATAGATTTGTATGCAGGGCTCACGAAATTGGAAAACAAAAATACTTGAAGATTTGCAGTGGTTTTAGGGTTTGCGAGAATCTCAGGCTGCTAAAACCTCTTTATCATCCACTGCTTGCATAATTCCCCTTGCCATTGTGTGTCCTTACTGAGGTCAAACTGCCCAGCAAAATACAGGTCAAAAAAGGGCCATCTGAAATAAGAACTGTCTCTCTTCTTGCATCTCTAGTCTTGTGAAGCTCATATACTTCTGTAGTTACTTAATATGAGAGCTGCCTTAGCTCAAAATTGCAATGAAATAATAAAGACGATTAGAGCATTTGTTCACTGGATGCTGTGAAATCCAGTGCCTTCTTTGTGATGCTCTTGCAAGTACTTGTTAGTGGGTTTTTTTCCCCAGAAGTCAGTTTGCAGTATTTTCTCTGCATATTTCTTGCAAGGTGTCGGATATTTCTTCTGCTCTTGATTCCTCCAGTGGCTGACTTTCACAGAACCACAGAATGTCAGGAGTTGGAAGGGACCTGGAAAGCTCCCCCAGTGCAACCCCTGCCAGAGCAGGATCACCAGAGCAGTCACACAGGAACACGGCCAGGGCTTTGGGTGTCTCCACACAAGGAGACTCCACAACCTCTCTGGGCAGCCTGGGCCATGCTCTGCCACCCTCACAGCAAAGAAGTTTTTCCTCCCTTGTTTTGAAAAGTTCTGTTTTCTTGTCGTATCCCTGCAGACATTACCCTGAGGGAGAGTATGTGTAGGAGACAGGAATAAATCTTAAGTCACTACACACTAGAAATTATCTTAGTTAAAAAATAACTAATGGAAAATACAGTCCTTGCCAGTTAAATACAGTATGGCTGGTTAAGTGAAATTTGCCTAAACTCCCCTAAGTACAAAGCTTCCCATGCAGTATCTCATGTTCCTGCTGGGACAGCCTGCACTAATGGGTGCATCTTATCCCTCAAAGTAGTGCTGCAGCTTGCGAGATGATTCAGGGGTTTCTTCCAAGCCTGCCCAGAAAAGCCCATCTTTGGTTTCTTCATCGTGAGAAATGCAGCCTCAGATGTGGCCACTTTGGCAAGAGGAAGGGCTGTTGGAAACACCTCCAGATTGGGGCATAACAGTTGATCCTCACAGTAGTGTTGCTATAATGCCTTGGGGCTAGGGGCTTTAAATCATGCAGTGATTTTTGAAACCTTGTGAATTTGATTCATTGCTTCCAACGGTATTCTTCATTGTGATTCTTTTTATCCCCTGCAGCATAGAGTATTTGGAGAACGTCCAGCAGCTTTTAACAGCGATAGTGAAGAAGGTTCCATTAATTGCTGAAAAAAGTAAGCAGTAAATGAAAAGGCTTTGCTTTCTATTTTCAATACATCAACAGAATGCCTTGCATACTCTGTAGCCACAAAAAAACATATTAAAAGGCGAAATGAAATGAAGCCATTCTCCTAGAGAGCTTACTCCAGGGGTTATTCTAAAGATGCTTAGAATTAGGTTCTTCCAATAAAGCCAAATATGTTGTTAGCAGTTATTAACTTTCATCTGTTTTTTGATTAGAAATAGTTTGTACTTCCTCACATAATGGCTGAAAGTATGTCTTCTTTTCCCTGGTTTGTCCTTAGTGGATGTGCTTTTTTTAAGAAAAAAAACTAATGCCAGGGTTTCAGAAATGCTTGCAAATGTGATAACATAGCTCAGTATTGGAGTGTGTTTGTTATTGGGGTTTTTGCTTGCCCTTTTTTTAATAAGAAGGTGGTAGTTTGCAGAGAAGCATTTTAATCTTTTGTAATTGCATGCCTCTTACTTGTGTACATAGCTGAAAATGTATCAGCTTTCTCTGGTAACTAAAGCACTTTGAACAAGTGGTCCTGGAGACTGGGCAGACCCGACCCTCTCAAGCACAAGCACAGTGAGCAAAGTAGGAGTGGGTAGCACAGTAAAGCTTTAATTACACAGAGGTCTCTGGCCTACGGTAGCACTCACGAATCCGTTGCTTAGGTTTTGTATCCCCTCCTCATGTTCTTGCTAGAAAGCCTTTTTACTGTTGTTTCGTTGTTTGTTGTAATTTGCTTGGGGAAAAAAATGAATGTTTTCCAAAGGAAGACTTGGACCAGTCAGACAGACTTACAGGTCTACATCATTACAGTTTTGAGGGGAAGAAGAGGCTTAAAACAGCCTATAGCCACAGATGTCTGGGTATATGACCAAGAGGGATGCTGGTTTTGGATCCAAAACCACAGTGCCTGCTGGGCATGTCTGTGCTGTGCTCAGAGAGCACAGCATTTGTAAGAGTTAGAGAGCTACAGTCCTTGATCCTGTAAGCATAAGACACATTTCCCTCTTCCTTTCCACTAAACAACATCAAAACCAGAATTTCTCTTCCTTCACTTAGTAAAAATTTATAACTGTTTTTGGCTGTGTGTTTTCTAGGTGAGGACGCAAGCTCTTTTTGTGCCAGTTCGGTGGAACAGTATTACAGCTGGAATATTGGGAAGAGGAGGGCAGCCGAGGTAATCCTCTCGTCCTGTGTTTCATAAGCAGTCATTAGGACAAGAAGGATTTCTGAATTATGGAACCTTCCTTCTTGTTGGCTGGGCTGTTTTCTGAAGCAGTCTCTGTTGCATTTGAAATGGAAGCATTCCTTACTGCAGGATGCACTGATTTGTGTCCAGGTAGTGATCCAGTTTACTGTTCAGAGACTTGCTCAAGCAGAAGGGACTCTAAAGGTCATTTTTCAGTTGTTTCAGAGTAAGATATTTTTGAAGCATTTTCAAAGAGTTTTTGCCAACTGTGCTGTTTCTTGCACTATGCTATCTTGGATGTTGCTTGGGAGATGAGACAGTTCAAGTCAAGACAAGTACGTCTGGGTCCCTTTAAATGTGTGTCAGATTTTCCTCAGGTATTGTTTGGATAACAAAGCAGAGTTTAAACAACCTCCCTGCAGCTGCCTAATATCAGCATTAGAGTCATAGAATCATAGCATGGTTCAGGTTGGAAGGGACCTTAAAGCTCATCCAGTCCAACCCCTGCCATGGGCAGGGACACCTCCACCAGCCCAGGTTGCCCAAAGCCCCGTCCAACCTGGCCTTGAACACCTCCAGGGAGGGGGCACCCACAGCTTCCCTGGGCAACCTGGGCCAGTGTCTCACCACCTCACAGTGAAGGATTTCCTCCTAATATCCAGTCTAAATCTGCCCTCTTCCAGTTTAAAACCATTCCCCCTCGTTCTGTCGCTACCTGCCCTTGTAAAAAGTCCCTCCCCAGCTTTCCTGTAGGACCCTTCAGGAACTGGAAGGCCACTGTAAGGTCCCTCTGGAGCCTTCTCTTCTCCAGGCTGAACAGCCCCAACTCTCTCACCCGGTCCCTGTAGGGAAGGTGCTCCAGCCCCTGAGCATCTTCATGGCCTCCTCTGGACCCACTCCAACATCTCCATGTCCTTATATTGAGGGCCCCAGAGCTGGACGCAGTATCCAGGTGGGGTCTCACCAGAGCAGAGTAGAGGGGCAGGATCCCCTCCCTTGCCCTGCTGGCCACACTTGTGATACAGCCTAGGATGTGGTTGGCCTTCTGGGCTGCAAGCACACACTGCCAGCTCATGTTGAATTTTTCATCCACCTTCCATGTTTTTTTTTTCTTTGTCATTCTGATTTCCAAGAAAATCACGTTGCTCTTGTTTTCCTTTCAACCTGGATTACTGTTCTGGGCCAAATTCTAAGCTTAAACATTTTAGCCAGTGTGATGAGCTTTCCCTTTGGTTTGTCACAGTGGCAACGAGCAATGACAGTGAGAAAGATCCTACAAGAAATCATAGAGAAGCACCCCAGGTTTCACAGCATTACGCCCCTGAAGACAAAGCACGTGGTGCACTGGTGTCGATGCCATGGCTACACTCCACCTGACCCGGAGACCTTGCGGAATGATGAGGACTCCATTGAAGATGTCCTGACGCAGATAGACAGTGAGCCAGGTGAGCGTGGAGGGACAGAAAGCTCATTTCTGCCAAGACCACTGTTTACTAAATGGCTCGAGGCTGTGTGTTACATGCATGTATGTGCTGCTGCTTCACAAGAAGGGGATTTTTACTTTCTTTGTTTTTAACTTAATTCACTCTGGCATAATCAAAGTTGGAGATTGTAAGGGCAAGCCTACAAATGAGGCTGTCCCTTGTCCCTATCAATCCTGATATTTTCTGGGCCCTCTTTTGGGTTTTATTGTGCTTTGGAGCCCTTGGAAGGCCCAGTGTAAATAAATCTCAGGAGAGATGATTCTAGCCCTACAGCGTCATCATTTGTAAGTGGGTGCACAAACCAAGCGTGGGCAGCTATGACACTTCTGCCCTTGAGTAAGCTTAGCCTCAGTTATGACTTACTGTGCAAATAGTGGGGATGAGTTCAGGTTAAAAAACAAAACCAAAACTGAATAAAAACCCAAACACCCACACACAAAACAATAAAGTAAACCAAAGCCACCAAACCTGGCAGTGGAGGTGTGGAGCTCAGTGGGGGTTAATTTAATTTACCTTTAAAAAATGAGGCGAATTGGCCTGCATGAAGCTTCGTGTTGTGTTATTACAGCTGCTGTGTTATTCCACTAGGCATAGCTCTGGCATCTCCACAGTCCATTTTAGTATGTATTGAACATGCATCTTTAATTTCATCTGATCTTCACAGTTAAGCTCCCTTGTTTCACCTTCAGATAATCCCTTTCCCAAAGCTGAACTTTTTTTGTGTTCTGATCGCACAGGGATTTAAGGTATTTCGCAGAAGTGTACGGATTTGATTCTTCTTTGCTAAGCCTGGCCCTGCATTGCAGTTGCAGAAGGTGGAAAGGAAGCCTACATCCACCTTTTAATATTTTTATCTAAATGACTAGATTTGCATTTGACTTTGAAGAAAAAGAATCTGTTTACTGCCTAGCTTTCCACTGAAGATTTGACTTGACCCTTTTGTAATTCCACTGTGAATCTGCCTTCTGATTTTTCTTTAAAAGCACGACAATATTTGTCACAACGTAAAAGGTGATGTAGTGCTACACGGTGCCTACCTAATAGTAGGAACTGCAATTCTCTAAGCACATTGAAGAGCACCAGACAGCTTTGCCAGTTACAAAGCTTCTGTGGGAATGTTTAGGATACTCATAGAATCACACACAGAATCCCAGAACGTTCGGGATTGGAAGGGACCTCAAAAGCTCATCCAGTCCAATCCCCCTGCCGGAGCAGGAACACCCAGATGAGGTTACACAGGAAGGCGTCCAGGCGGGTTTTGAATGTCTGCAGAGAAGGAGACTCCACAACCTCTCTGGGCAGCCTGGGCCAGTGCTCTGTCACCCTCACTGAGAAGAAGTTTCTTCTCCAATTTCAGTGGAACCTCCTGTGTTCCAGTTTGTGTCCGTTACCCCTTGTCCTATCATTGTTTGTCACCGGGAAGAGCCTGGCTCCATCCTCGTGACACTCGCCCTTGACATATTTATAACCATGAATGAGGTCTCCCCTCAGTCTCCTCTTCTGCAAACTAAAGAGACCCAGCTCCCTCAGCTGCTCCTCATAAGGGAGATGCTCCACGTTAGCCTGGTTTTGTTTGACATGCAGCCTTCTTAATCAGTGTAGGGGCAGATGAGGGAGAGGACAGCAAGTGTCATGAAGATATAATTAGATGGCTTTCAATGACTGTTTGCATTTCTGTTCATCCTTAAATTTGGTAGGAACTACAAAGATAACTTCCAGTTACCTTAGTTTCTTACCGTATTTTGAGCCTGCATGGGTTTATAAACAGCTTTCCATAACCTATCATACGTTTGTTTGCTTCTTTTTCAGAATGCCCTTCATCTTACAGCAGTGGTGAGGAGCTGTGCCGAAAACTAGAGGAACTACAGCAGTTTCTGAAACGAGAACCAGAACACGAGGAGGAAGTAGATGTTATCAACTTCAGTGAGCCATTAAAAATAAACATTAAGAAAGAACAGGAGGAGAAACAAGAGGAGATGAAGTTCTACTTGGCTTCCCTGCCTGCATCGGAGTTTGTGAGGGACACTGCAGAGAAGGTAATAAGTGAATCGTAAAGCTAGGAAGAACTGCTGTTAAGCTAATTGTGGTCTTGCATTTATTTAGTTGCCTTCCTTTCATCTATATGGGCCTCTAGATGCTTTATGGGGGTTTTTATAAATGCTCTGGACCTTCTGACTCATGACACTGGCCAGTGCTGGCAGGAGTAAGTGAAGTGTGCCAGTGGGAGATCATTTCAGAGTGGCTGTGTGGCAGGGCTTAGTACCAGAAAAGGCATCCTGGAAGGCTGGAAGCAAGAGGAAATGAGGGAAGAGGAGCACAAGCACTGAATTCTTCCTGTCCCATCATGTGAAAGATCTGGGCTCATTGCTTGAACCAGTGCTATTTAATAGCAGCTCCTGAAAAGTTGTTAGCAAAGCTTAGACCACAGCAAACTTCTCTGCTGCTTGAATTTCTTCCCCCTGTTCAAATTAGGGTAAAAGAAAGGAAGGGGGTAGGGGGTCTTCTGTCACAGCAGCAGGAAGGGAAAGGAGGAGACTGACTTGGCTTGTGGGGAAGAGTGCTCACCACTGCACCAGCAGAGACAGGAGCAGCGGGAGGGGTTTGTATGCAGCAGTTGTGGGAGAAAGAAAGAAAATATTTCCTTCTCCACCTCAAATGCTGCCATCAAGGGACAAAACTGGTTCTGCAGTGTTTCTGGTCTCTTGTTACATAGATGACAAGGGCACAGGCATGATGAGATTGAGAAATATATGTACAGTTTAAAAATGCAGGTTCCGTTTTCAGTCCAGAGGTGCCCAACACAGCCTGGTTTGTGTGTGAACTTTCTGAAACAAAAATTAAAGCCTGCTTTTGTTCATTCTGTGTTTTAGAGGCATTTCTGCAGGCTGCTGTAATGGTCCAGCTTCATTTTCTGCAGATTTTTCTTAAATGAAGCCCAAGATTATACTGCTTGAAAGTTCTGCAGTGTCTGCTTGCTTGGTTTTTAACTACCCTTTTAATAGATTTTTTTAATCTCTTAATCTCATTCTCAGCTAATCCGTAGTACAATGGGGGTTGTGTTATTTGTTGTACTAATTTTTTTCTCTTTCATATTTTACAGATCGGGATTTCTTTTCAGCCTGCTGAGGTGCAAAAGAATGTTTATGCATCAGTAATAGAAGATATGATTTTAAAGGTAAGAAATGACTTCCCAATAAGAACTTTTCTGTAACTGCATTAACCCAGTAATGTAGGAAAAAAGATGGAATATCCATATTAATATGCATTTATCAAATCAGAAGATGCAGAGTGTTGATGTCTGTGCCTGTATAGAAAGATACACAGCTGGACAAAGAGTTGTATACCTCTGTGTGCATTTACAGCTTTCTAACGGATTTGTTGGCTTGGACACAGAAGTGATTTGCAGGTTCTCACCTGCAGTAAGATACTGTCTCATTCCTTAACTTTCAGAGTCCCCCATACTTTGTCCTACCCTTCAGGAATGGGGGAGATCTGCCAGAGCTCTGTAAGACTTGATTATCTTATGCAAGGGTAGGTATTTTTTCCTAAATACTGTTCAGCTCCTTTTTGCCCGGGTTGTCTCTGCTGGGAGACTGCTGAATTCCTGCAGACAGTAGCAGTTCTGCCTTGTACAAAAAATTATTTCTCTATCATAATCACTTCTGGAAAAACAGAGACATTTTCTTACCAAAGCCTTAAACAGCGTGGAGTTGGAGTTCTTCGATTTGGACTGAAGGCTACCACAGATTATTTTAAGCAGTGCTATTTAAAAATAGCAGCGCTCTGCTGTATTTCAAGCCAAAGACAATTTTTGGGGTTGTTTATACAGACTGCTGCTTATCAGAAGATCAGAAAAGCTGATTGATTCCATGTTACACGGGCACATTTCTGCTGTACTCTGTTACTTACAGTTGAACTCAGATACAGATCCATCCATTTGTAGGCACAGATTGGAACCATCAGGTTGCTCCATTATAGCTGTAGAGTTATGCCAGCTTTCCTGACTGAACGTCCCAGAAACCTCTGCTTCAGTCTTGATAGGAGCACAGAAAGCCAAGAGCCTTAATTAGTTTTGATTGAACCTTGATTAAGCCGAGTGTCTGGTGCATACGGCTGCTGTCTGCTTGCTGTCTGGGCTGGGAGGTTTTTGTGAAACTATCTTGACATTAGCCTGGTGACCACAGGGAGCGGCTAACAAACACACACCAGCTCCCAGGAGAGTATCTGGAAGCTGCCATGTACAAAACAAGCTGTGGTGTGTGAGTGGCAAGGCTTTAAAATACTCTGTGAAGCACCCTGCTCTCTTTCTTTCTGTTAAGTATACTCAGTTCTTACCACTGTGCCAGGAAACTTGGGCATCTTGACCTGCCCCCTGCTGATCAAATACAGGGTTGAAGCAAGCCAGAATTTCAGCTGCTCTTCCACTGATAGTTGAGCAAATAGCACATTCCTTTCCTCTTTTCATAATGCTGTCTCCTGATGTCTTTTGTCGCAGGCCACTGAACAGCTTATGAGTGATATCTTACGGCAAGCGCTGGCTGTGGCATACCAGACAGCTCCTCACAACAGGTACACCAGCTTGTTTCCTCCTAGACCACTTGTGCAAGCACTAGGGGCTGAACTGCTTGAGGAATTCAGTTAGATTAGCTCAGGCCATGTGAGTGAGGGAATTTACAAACTATATTCTGGGAAGATCCAAGCCTTAGGAGGGGCTTTGTCATCTCTTAGCTTCATAGTGGCAAAGGAGTGGTCACACAGACAACATCAAAGCTGAGGCAGGGCTTTCTGGTGTTGCCACACTCAAGGGCAGATGACCTGTTCATACAGAGCCATATCAGAAGACTCTTCTCACTGCTGTCCCTCTCAGGTTACCATGTAGACAGCTTACCCATGGCCACACAGAACTTAAACAGCCTAACTAATCTCTTCTTTATTTTGACTGCTCTTTTCTGGCTCACACATTGAGTTATTGTTATGGTAACTATTAAATTTTTATTTATGTTCAGCACCATGATTTGGGATAGCTTGAATTTGAAAAAAAAAACAAAACAACCCTATTAAAAATGCTTAGTTTAAATATTTACTTGTATGCAATATGTAAATATTTATATAATATATGTTAAACATATGTATATATGTTACATATAGAAATATATACACATACTCTGTGCTATAGAACATCAGGAATTAATACTTTAGCACTTCATTTTTCTGTCCCAGTGCCCAAGATATTTCCCCTGGTCATTTGAGAGTGGCTTTTCTGTGCTGTGACATTTCAGTGCTTTTCCTGTGTTGCTCTAGCACCTACTCTTTTAACCTTTTTTTGACTGATCTTTTCTGTTTTCTTATTTTTTTTTTCTCCCCTGTTAGTAAATTTATTGACTTGCTGCTTTATGGACACGTGTCTTTTTATGTATTATAATAGCATCTCTGATGCATTCCCTGCAGGACTCCAAGAGAGATCACAGTGATGAATATTCACAAAGCCATCTGTAATATTCCCTTTCTTGACTTCCTCACAAACAAACATATGAAGATACTAAATGAGGAACAATGAAATAGAGCAGAGAAGATGCTGCAGGAAAGGTGGATTTATGACTGATGTTGGGTTGACAAATCCAGTATTTCTGTAGGACATTATTATATACATTTATAACATTGGGCTACTAGATTGTTACCTCCAATTAAAGATGCACCTTAATGCAACAAAATGATGCTCTGTTCCAAATCAAGTTGTTAAATGTCAGTGTTTACTTGGTAAGTGTATGTTCAGTGGCTGAACAAACATTGTCAGTTTGCATCGAGTTGCTAGCTGTGAGAGACTCCACAGGCCTGGTCCCTCAGACAGCCGTGCTGATGAGATTGAACATTTTGTTTTAAAGAAAAGAAAATATGCCTTTTGATGCAGTCTGCATATGAGTTCATTTCCCCATGCAGTGGGCAAAACAGTTGCTTTAGCACTCTGAATATGAGAAAAGTCCAAGGCAGCTGTTAAAGGTGGGTCATCTGAGTAGATGTGTGGGGGAGCAGAAGGCTGATAGCTGCAACAAATTCTGCTAGTCCTGCTCAGCCATGATGTCTGTAACTGAGAACACAGCTGGGTAGGCTCATCGTCAGCTTATTCAGCTAAGTGTCACCTAACCAAATTCCTTGCCTCTCTAGAGCAGGTGACAGACATCACCTTTCTCAGTCACCTCAGAAATGGTAGACTGGCACATGCTCAATCCAGATGAACAAACCATGGTCAGGCTTGATAAGATTTGACCGACATGCTTGTCCTGCATGGGGAAAAAAGAGAAGCAAGGACAGTATTCAGTGTTTGTGAGCTTGGATTGGCTTGAAAACCTTTGAGTTTAGAGTGCTGGAGGGCAGGTGACCGGCTGTGTTGTGTCTGTGTGCTGTCTTTATGTTTTGACAGCATTCACTAATGATCAGCTTGGATTATGAAGTGCTGTGGGACTGCTTTGGCTTAAGTTCTGCTCAACACAGAGGAGCCTGATAGGATAAAAAATCAGAGATTTGCTGCTTTGGGGAAGCTCCTCTGATGTCTTAACAACTGCAGGAAGAAGTTCTGCTACTAACCCCAGCACTTGCCTGTCTCAGGAACGTCACTGGTGTAGGAGACGTGTCTGCAGCCTGGCTATCAACACCTCGCTGAAGAATGCTTCGCTGACAACATCCTGACCACCCCACATCTACCACCCCTCTGTCCTGACCCATGGGTGCTTGCTAGTAGTGTGAATAAGCCATTGTAAAGTTGGTGGGACTCCTGTTGGACTGTTGTGCTTTCAGGGTGCTTGTTTTGTGAGGCAGTGCTGTCATGTGAGCGGAGCATGGGTCAAAGAGCCAAACCAACACGCTGATCTCAGCTGGGTCTCTGATCTGCTGCATGGCCTTTTGATTTAATCACTCTGTGCCTCAGTTTCCCCATCTCTGAGCATGGGGAGCAGGATACCTACCTCACAGGGGTGTGCTGAGGCCTCGCTCTTGTTGGTGCCGTGCTTTGACAATACAAAGCCTTTTATAAACATTCAAATACAGTTATCTTTCCTGGCCTGGGGTAGGAACAGAAATCTTACATGTTATCTTTTGGTGCTTTTTTTTAGGCTAGAAGAGAGATGATGGTAACTCCAGTAGTGTGCAGGAACTGTGGAAAATGGTTAAGTTATAGGGTGGTTTCAGGCTTCCGAGGAGAGCAGCGTAGGTTCGATGCAGTTCTTGAACTGAAGAAGGTCCTGTGCACCTCAGATGAGGTGCTGCCTGTCTTTTCCACCTTAAACAAAACCAAGGTCTGCAGATCAGCCCCTCTCAGTTCCTCAGAGCTAACAGGGAGTTACAGTTCACTTGAGTAAGAGTGGCAGAAGCTGGCCTTTGAATCTCCAGGAAATGGGACCAATGGATGAAATCCAAACAGCACGCAGAGAAGGACTTAAATGCCCCCTAGGAAGGGTGTTTCAGATGCTGTGGATTCAAAAGATAATCCTGGCTGGTTGGGGTGAGCTGAGTGCAGGATTGCCTGCACAAGTCAAGTGCACAGCTTAGCCCTGACATTCATTTTTTCAGCTGAGGTCAGTGTGAAAGAGTCGAGCAGTGGTGGTGATGTTTGAGCTCAGTGTCAGGAATCTGGGTAGCTGGGGAACTGCAGGCCCCACACTTTGTTTGTAGGCTGTAGTGAACTCAAAGTCCACACTGCTTTTCAGGCGCTCCTGTACACAGCTTTTACGAAAGAGAAGGGCATTTTCAAGATATCTGTCACTATCACTATGACAGCCTGCAGGTTGTGTGGGAACAGCCTTTTGGGCAAACTCAGTCGTGCTGTGATCTTCTGCAATGACACATGCGTTTCCAGCCCCCGTCTCTTGTGGGATTTTGATAAGCCCAGAGCAGCTCTCGAGGATGCAGGAGCTTGTTTCTGGGCTTCTGTTTGCAAATTGTGGCTTCCTTGCCTGTGTCTTGCTTTTCTGTGAGGAACAGAGTTTCAGAATGAGTCCTTGACCTGGCTCTGAGGCAGGCAGGTAAATGCCCCTCGTTCTTAATGGGGTACTTGCAGTGGAGATCTGTTGCTACATTTCTGAGCAACCACAGGTTATTCTCCTAAGAGATGCTATTTTAATAATACATAAAGTTTGCTGAAGAAAAAAATCTGTTAAAAAATGGGTAGAAAATAACACATTTGTTTAGTCCTTCAGATATAGGAAACGTTTGCAAGAAGTTCTTTGAATTTTGAGAAGTGGTGGGAGAAAAATTTGTTGGCGAGAGAAGTTCCTGTGGGAATTGCTTGAAGATGTGTTCAAAGTTTTGGGATTTCATGCACCCATCTCGGTGTGTGTGGAACGTTACAGATGATACAGTGTGTTGAAACATGACCATTTATTTCTCTGGCTTTCTAAAGGGTCTTGATACAAGTTAAAGATCTCTTTACAAATATTGCCCCTATTTGTAACGCTGAGTGTCGAAATCCTTCATGTTATCTGTATTATACTGTATAATTGTGTAAGATACGTATGTTTACAATAAATTCTTTTATTAGCTGTGATAGGATTGTCTTCACTGTCACACGTCACTCAAACTTTCTCCAAATCTACCTATTTTTGTATGCTCTGTATATTCAGAATGTTTTAGTTCTTGATCAAAATTGGTGGTTCAAATTGATTTGAAGGAGAAGGTAATTTTTCCCATTTCTAGTGGTTTTAAAACCTCTTGGTTTTGGAGGTTGGGAAGCCAGGAGCTCAGCTCCTTCGACTTTTCATCCTCCAGAGCAGCCTGTTTAAACAGCAAGTAATTGGTTTGTGTGGAAAATTGAAAAGCGTGGTGGGTTGACATGGGCTGGCTGCCAGACGCCCACCCAGCTGCACTGGGGAAGAAAATAAGGATGAAAAAGCTTGAGGGTCAAGATAAAAGCAGGGATGTTGTGTGCCAATGACTGTCACAGGCAAAACAGACTCAACTTGGGGAAAACTAGTTGAACTTACTGCAAATTAGACTAAGAGTTGGATGGTGAGGAACAAAGATAAATCCAACACCTTTTCCCCCACATCTTTTTTCCTTATTCTGGGCCTCAGCCCTTCATCCCCAACTCCCACCTCCTCTCCCCCTGCCCTGCCAGGTCTCTCTTTGGCTTCTCGGGTTCGGCCTCCGCCATTTCCTAACCCCGCCCACGAGGGCGCCACCGACTCCTCTGATTGGCCCGGCCCTGCCCTGAGCGGGCTGGGAGCAGCTGTGTCCTCCCGCCTCTCCCCACAGCCCACAGCCCCGCCGCCATCGGCCGTGAGCGGGCACTCGGTGCGGAAAAGAGGGGGAAAAAAGTAAGAAGAGCTTATTTCTCCATTTTCCCCAGGCTGTGGGAAGGGATCACAGGTGTCTGTGAGCTGACATCTGAGTGGAGCATCTGCTGGGGAGCAGCTGAGAAAGCTGGGGCTCTCTAGCTTGGAGAAGAGGAGACTGAGGGGTGCCCTCATGCCTGGGTATCAATTTGGAAAGGGCAGTGTCAGGAGGAAGGAGCCAGGCTCTGCTCTGGGATGGCCAATGCCAGGACAAGGGGCAATGGTCCCAAGCTGGAGCACAGGAGGTTCAAGCTGAAGATGAGGCCAAACTTTGTCAGGGTGAGGGTTATGGAGCATGGCCCAGGCTGCCCAGAGAGGTTGTGGAGTCTCCTTGTGTGGAGACACCCAAAGCCCTGGCCGTGTTCCTGTGTGACTGCTCTGGTGATCCTGCTCTGGCAGGGGTTGCACTGGGGGAGCTTTCCAGAGCCCTTCCAACTCCTAATATCCTGTGACTTCGCACTCTGTTGTCTTTCTGAATACTGCAAAACTTGCTCTTGTTGGTACTAAATCCCACAAAAGTGTCTCCTAAATGCCTTTGTGTGGCCAGACCCATTCGCACACAGAGCAGGCGCAGGAGCAAGCTGTGTATCTTGGTCCCTGGTGACACCAAAGCGTGTGCCACCAGGAGTGAGGGATCATCCATCCCGCTCTGCCATCTCTGCTCTGAAAGCAATTGCGGCCTCTCTGGGCTACACGACACCAACCTCCATTTGTGGTAAACCAGGTTGCTCCATAGGATATGTTACTGCAGTGGCCAAGATAAAGAAAACTGGTATGAATAAGGCAGAGGTGATAGATTTGCATCTGATTGCGCACCCTGCAAGAAACTGGTGCGATGCAAACAGAAACATGCAGTTTTTGAAAGCAGGCAATTCATTAATGTGCTGCTTGTGGACTTTTCAAATTCGGGTAAAGAACTGTCCTGAGTAATGGAGCATTTCCAGAAGCCAGAGCTTCCTGAGCGTGTGGAAGTGCAGGTGTTCACAGCTCCCTGGCATAGAAGATGCAGCTGGCACAAAGCTCAGCATCCCAATAAGCCAGGTGTCAGCAAGATGGAGTGGAACAAGCAGGTTCACTGTCACCGTAATAGGCAGTAAATTATAATGCTTCAGGTGTAAACCCTTCCTTTTAAAGGACATTTCTTATGTGTCAAATAACCCTTGTTTGCAGTGTGATTCACAGTTGGAAAGCCTTGATGGACTTGGATGTGAACCCAGAGCAATTGGGAAGACAAATATTAGTGTGAGCAGCGTTGGAAGCAGTCCCAGCATCGTGACTTCCTGGAGCCTACATCAGCTGTGTAGATTTGCCCTCTCAGAGGAACTTGGTGTGATAACCAGTGGCTGAGGCAGGCACTTTCTGCGCAAAATCAGGTATGTTGCAGACAGCAGCAGCCAGTTGCACCGCCCTGTCCCCTGCAGTGGTAAGTACCTGCTTGGTTTTCCTTCCATTTGTCCCTCCTGTAACTGGAGCCAAGCAACAGCTCACAAGCCTTTGTCTTTTTCCTGGAAGTCCTCTGAGGCACAGCTAAGAGGTGGCATCACAG